GCTATTTCAACAATAACAGTGTCTTATATTATAAAAAAAAGCCTTTCAATTATATGCTAGTAACATTTTTTTAACAAAAGTAAATTTTAAAATTTTGATGTAATAATAAATTAAATGAGGTGGCCCAACATGTGACTTTTGCTATTAGAAGGTCTGAAGTAAGATGTATGTATTCTTATTCTGCATGTGATAATATTTTTTTTGCAGCTTGAATCATTGACATTCAAATCATAAAGGAGCAACGTATATCTTATATTTACCATCTTATTAACTAATTTTTATATTATAAAAATATTACATAATAATATTATCATTCAATGTGTCAAATTTTACAAAGATGAGAGTAAGAGGGCTTCATAAAAGGGGAGAGAACTAAAAGTTCTAATATTTTTTGAACACATATTGAGAGATTCAACTAAATAATCAATAATCAAGTAAAGAAATTTAATCTTAATGTTAGAAATTATTAAATAAATTAAAATGTATATAACTTTTAGAGGGGGCAAATTTAGAATATATTAAAATTTATATAAAAAAAATGTTTAGACAAAAAAATTGAGTTGGGGCAGTGCAAGTGTAGCTCCGCCCCTGTTCACCATTACATAATTCGAGTACTTTATCCAAACATTTTTATAAGTCTAAGATAGAGGTCGTCAGTTAAGATGTTTCCAACAATTTTTTCTATTTTTTTTGAATTGAAAACTAGTTTGAATTTAATCTGATCAAACTGAGGTTTGAAATCAAACTTTTCATCAAGAGAATAGATGGAGCGATTCCGGTGAAATTTAATGTAAATTTAATTTTCGATTCACTTGTGGGATCGATTTAAAGTTTAAGATTTTGTTTTACGTTTCTTTATATTTGATTTCGCATAATCTTCTACGTTAACTTTTTGTTTGTTTGAGAGAAAGGATCCGAGATTTTTTTGGGTTTGTGCATATAAACCGCTGTCTTGTCGGTATGGAGTTCTTTTTCTTCTCAATTTCTCCGAATTTTTTTTATTCATATATATTATGTGATTTATATTTGATAAAGTCGTCGTAGTTGCCTTGATTTTTCTGAGTGGATCCAATTGTCAACGACCCACTCCAGATAATGTAGAATAATTTTCTATCGTGTTTTGTGGGGACAAGTTTGTGTTTAGACAAAATTACGTAACTGTGATGATTCTTGATTTTCTTTTTTTTTTTTTTTGTAAAAATCACCACCACATACGAAGAAGATTGACTTAGTCGTCCTTAATTCATTAATCCATTAAAGAAAGAGGTGATACTAACGAATAAATTTTTGATACTTAGACAGAGGAAACTTTATGGTACTGAAAAAAAATAATTTGGTATCAATACCATCGGTTATTATTGTATATGATAAAATTAAAATTTAAAAGAAAAATTACAATTGCTCAAAAGAGGTCATTATTAATCACAAACACCTATAATTAATCATAAAAAATATAATACTGATTTTAATATTTTATGATGAATCATATTATTTGAAATTATAATTAACACGTTTAAAAAATTATAATTTTTGGTACCATTATCAGTTAACGGACCGATGTTGATTTGTCAAAGTCTCGCTTGATGATTCTGCCACTCGATTTAATTTTGGACTTTAGCACAATATTTATACCAGTCAACATATGCGACTTGGAAGATTAAACCCAATTTTTTTTTCCCAAACTGCCCCTTTTAAATCCAAACGTTTTTAACTTTTATCCACTCCGCCAACATTTTCACTTTAAAATTATGTTATTGAAATTTAATTTTTTAGATTTTTCTGTGGATTTTTTTAAATATTAGAATTTTGTGTTGATCTAATAATTCAAATAAAATTATATCATTAAATTAATAAATTAAATTTAAATTTTAAATTTAAAAAACTTTATTCTAAAATTATGCAATTGAAATTGGAGATAGTAAAAAGTCTAGAATCCCATACAGCGTTAACCAGTTAGTTTCCTCGAGTCCTTCAGGAGAAGGCAAGATGATATGATATTACCAATTAATAGTATTAAAACAAATAAGTACATGAAATTCACAAAAATTAACAACTAACCTGCCATGTAAACAAATAATTTTTCACCCTCCTGTCATGTAAATTCAAGTGGAGTTCACCTTTTCTATTTGAGATTTTATTATTAATAAGTGATACAATGTCATCAATGATGACGTGGTATCACCGTTACATTCAATATTTACTCATCCTTCAGAATGAGTAAATATTGAGTCTAACAGTTACACTGTTAAATCATATCCAATGAAAATTTAATTTTTTATCCAAATTTGAGTAAAAAAAAATGGGTAAAAAACTGGACTTGTTATAAAGCCCTCTGGTGGAAAAACTCAAATTTAATGGAAGAAAAATTTAAATTTAAATGAGAATAAACTCAAATTTAAAAAATGGTAAAATATAATTATTGGATTTTTAAAGAATAGCGAAATCTCACAATTAAAAATTATTGTATAGATTTGATTCTCCCTTGATTTGAGTTTATAATTTTTTTTTTTATTTTATATGAGTACGAGTCTAACATTGAAAAAATGATTTAGACCATTTTTACCCAAAATTTAAATTTGGGTACAAAAATAGGTAAAGCCTAGAGAGGCTCTTAGCATTCCTGATGTGGTGTAACCATTCAATAAAAATAATTACAAAATAAATAAAATGAGGTCCATTTTTATTATGAAAGTAATTATGTATTATATAATTAGGTGATTATAAATTTTTGTTAGATTTATTTATTTATTAATAAATAATTATACTACGTAATATTACTAACGTGATATAACGGTTACAATTTTTGACTTCAGAATGCCTGGGCATAACATTAGCCTAGCCCAGTAGATAAGTTTGTTGATAGATAGGACTTTGAACAAAGTCCTTATCTGTCTGTTTTTTTTCCATAGCTTAACGACAAAAGATAGATAGGACTTTGATCAGATTGGAATTTGAATTCAATTTGTCAAATATATTTTATTTTTTATTGATTATTTGAATCTAATATAGATTTGAATAAATATACTATAATAAAAACATATTCTTATTTTAAAAAAATAATTATATATCGAATTTAATTATTTTTAAGATAAAAAATTTAACTGAAATTCAGTTCTATTGATTTCCTAATTTCTCAATATAAAATGCCAGCCACCAACAACAATCAGAATCCCATATCCAAAACTTTCATTACAGACAGACATGGCCACTGATCTGTACATGTACCTCTCTCTTTTATTGGCACTCTACATCTTCACCAGGCACATCCTCCACAAAATTCAAAAACTACCACCCAGCCCCTTCCCTACCCTACCCATTCTAGGCCATCTCTACCTCATCAGAAAACCCCTCCATAGAACCTTATCAAAAATCTCAGCTCGTGATGGTTCCATACTTTTCCTCCAACTGGGTTCACGCCGGGTTCTTCTGGTCTCCTCTCCGTCGGCCGCCGAGGAATGCTTCATAAAAAACGACATCGTCTTTGCCAACCGCCCTCACTTGCTCGCCGGAAAATATCTCGGCTACAACTACACCACCCTGGCTTGGGCCCCCTACGGCGACCACTGGCGAAACCTCCGCCGAATTGCCTCGCTAGAAATTCTCTCCTCCCATCGGCTCCAAATGCTCCATAGCATACGTGTGGATGAGGTCAAGTACATGATACGAAGGCTATTTCTGGCTTCCGAAGCTCAACAGACGGTGGATATGAAAAGGGTGTTCTTTGATTTGATGTTGAATGTGATGATGAGAATGATAGCTGGGAAAAGGTATTATGGTGAGAAGGCGGAGGAAGTGGAGGAGGCGGGGAGGTTTTGGGAGATAGTGGTGGAGACATTTAGGGTGGGTGGTGCATCGAATATGGGGGACTTCTTGCCGGCGTTGAGGTGGGTGGGAGGGGGTGGTTTGGAGAAAAAATTGAAGGCGTTGCAAGAGAGGAGAGATGGGTTCATGCAGGAATTGATTGAAGAATGTAGAACAAAAATGGAGAGAAGTAGCGGTGGTGGCGATGATTCGGAGTTGGGAGGGAGGAAGAAGACGATGATTGAAGTTTTATTGTCGCTGCAAGCAACGCAACCTGAATATTACACTGATGAGGTTATCAGAGGCATCATGCTGGTAAGCTTTCTACTTGCAATTTTCCTCATTTCTGTGCATATTGTCTCAAAAATTCCTAAATGCTTTACCCAATTGGATTATCAGAGGCATTTTTGTAGTCTACAAAGATTGGATCTAAAATCTACCGACAGGGTGTAGTTTAATTACCTATATTAGAATTTTTCCGATGGTAGAATCAATCCTTGGCAAATGAAAAAATTTATGTTTCTGTACCCTTCCGTTGGGTGCTCTATTCTTTGTTCTGCGTGACAGTTGGGCCCGTCTCCCTCCAGCTTTAAAGATTTTCTTAACTACTCGTTTGATTTTTTTTTCGGTTGGTTCAACCATCAGGTCTGGGTTAGGTAGGGTTAGTTTATGTACCTCAACTAATTCCCTAATTCCCTCTTTGTTCAGTCAAAAATAATTCCCTGATTCCCTCTATGTTTCGGTCAAAATTAGGTTATCCACCCCGAGATTAGGATATTCACGACGATAAATTCCTCATGGCCTGACTCCAAGGATTGTATATATGTATTTATGCATTCTTTGCAGTATGAAATTGTGATACCCACACATTATTTCACATAAAGAAAGATCGGATATAAAGTATTGTAATTAGGTGTAGGGGACAAAGGTCAGTCTAGACACGGGGAGTTCACAATTCTTATTAATGTCTTGGATCACTATCAGGGATTCAAGATTGCCAACACCATTAAACTTCTTTATTCTTTGAATATTTTGATTTTTTATTGTATCAATGCCCCTGTCTTATATAGTACATGAGAGTTTCATCTACAATATGATATAGGAGAGAGATAAGTGTTAGGCAACTTGCTCACATTTTGAAAAAAACTTATTTTCGAATTAAAATCAGTGATATATCATGGGGACGGACGAACATTTATAATCGCTTTAAGTCCAACCTCAATTACCCTGCCCTATACCTGGTGGTGCATTTATTCCACTCTTATTAATTTATCTCAATCTTAACTTTAGTTTTAAAATCTGATATAGAAGGTACACTTGAATGTGATGTGAGTGATGGTTACTATAATTAAGCGGGGAAGTTTCATCCCTTTCCTATCTACCGAGCCATTTGTATAATGTATCTAACTATACATAACCATCAAATTAATTAGGGGAGAGTGGCATTGAGAAGCCTTCCCCTATATTTTTCATAATTTTTCCCCCTATATTTTTCAATTTTTAGTTTATGTAATAACCAAAGATGGTTTCATCCAATCAGGACCCACCGGAGGATTCAGTGGTGACCTAATGGCCAACCACCCTGATGTTGGACCTCTAGGTCACGGGTTCGAAGTTCAGCACCCCCTACTTGGCTCATATATCACCCTTGTACCCTCTCACTAAACTAACCCCAATTCATTTAGTTTTTTCCAATAATCTCGATGGTTCTTTAACTTTTCAAATGTGCGACTCAGAGGGCAGAAGGAGCGGAAGGTAAAAGGTAAATCTTGTGCAATGCATGGATCTACCACATCTCATTGATTTGATTTTGTTTCATGATTTTGTTGATTCCAAGTGGAGGGCTTAGTATTCTGCATTTATGGTATACATTAGACAAACATGGTTTATAAATTCTTCATGCTGGATCACATTGATTTGAAGTGTGAATCTTTCATATTTTGCATATACAACATATTTTTTGTGGACATGGTTTACAAATTCTTCATTTCCGTAACATGTTTAGTAATGAGCACGACGACCATTTATCAAAAAAAAAAAATGAGCACAACGGCCTATTATTCCGATGGATTAAAGAATATAGAATCAGCTTCTCAGGAAATTTCAAAACGAAATATCTCAGCAAAATCAATCAATTTATGTTGAATCTGAATAGTACTGTTTACATCACAAACCTACTGTTCTTGGTATCTTTAAATTGATTACCTTAATGTTATCTCTCAGTTATCATGTCTTTTTCCATTAAGCGAACTTAACGTGTTTATTTAATTTCATTGTAGAATCTATTAGCAGCAGGGACTGATACTTCAGTTGGAACAATGGAGTGGGCACTGTCTCTTTTGCTGAACCATCCACAAGTTCTAAAAAAGGCACAAGCCGAAATTGACAATCACATGGGGCAAGACAGTTTGATGGATGAATCCAACATAGCTGACCTCCCTTACCTCCGCTGTATCATCAATGAGACATTACGGATATACCCACCAGGCCCGCTACTGGTACCTCATGAATCATCAGAGGAGTGCATTGTAGGAGGCTATCGCATTCCCAAAGGAACCATGCTACTTGTGAATCAATGGGCTATACAAAATGATCCTAAGATCTGGGAGGACCCTATAGAGTTCAAACCAGAAAGGTTTGAAGGCCTTGAAGGTGCAAGAGATGGATTCAAGCTGATGCCTTTTGGCTCAGGGAGGAGGGGATGCCCCGGTGAGGGCTTGGCCATGCGTATGATTGGATTGGCGTTGGGTTCACTTATTCAATGCTTTGATTGGGAGAATGTAACCGAAGAAATGGTTGACATGACTGAAGGAACTGGACTGACCATGCCCAAGGCTAATCCTTTGATAGCCAAATGCATTTCTCGTATGTCCATGTTCAGCCTAGTTTCTCAGATTTGAAGCAATTTGGTTGTCTATGTTGGAATGCTCATTCCGATATTAGTGAGGTTTGTTAAAGCCAGGCATTGATGTATCTAATTGTTCTGGATTTGTATATCAACTGAGGGCACCTTTGTTTGGGAGTTTTAGTAGTATTATAGAGTGAGATATTAAGAAATAGTACTTGGATCCACTTATTATCTTATTTGTTTGGGATTTTATGTGCAATATTATTTTTCGGATCGTAATATCGACCCGGTTTGTATAATAGTCTTTAACCCTTATACATGACTTTTATGAATACCACCTATCAGATGGTATTATTTGTTGGTATAAATTTACCAACAATACAAGCACAAAAATGACACAAATACCCTCCTGTGTAGAGTTCATATATACAAATTTTATTTCGAATTTTTGTCTTGTATTATGTTTAAGTGTACGGTGTCATTGATTTTTTTTTAATTTTTTGTAAAAAAATTATTTTGAATTTTTTCTTTGTATTTTGTTTAAGAGTACGACAGTTTTTTATTTAATTTTATTTAAAAAATTATTTTGAATTTTTTCTTTATATTATGTTTAAGCATATGGTATCATCGGTTTTTTTTTAATTTTTTTTTAAAAAAATTATTTTAAATTTTTCCTTGCATTATGTTTAAGCGTATGGTATCACCGAAATTTTTTTTTACGGTATCATCGATTCCTAACATTAGATTCTTTATATTTTTATATAGATTTTTAACATTATTCGAAATTTTTTGGGTATGAATTGTCATACTATGTATTATACCAAATATTGTGCAAAAACGTTACACAAACGAAGTAATAAAATGAATGATGTTAAAGATAAAATGATATATTTGTTACACAAGATGTAATATAATAGATGGGTTATTTGTGAGACCCACCATAATATATATTAAACAAACAAATATGAAAAGAGATTGAAATAGTCTCTATTGTCGATACTAATTTTAATTGATAGTAGAAATATAAGGAATATATTTATTAATACCATGCATTGCAACACTCAAAACAACACATGGCCTAATGGTATAATGCATCACCTCAAGCTCGGTAGTTTGTTTCTTTAATTTGTTTTTTCCATTATTCTCGATTCGAATCAATATCTTTCTAGAACAATAAGGAGACTAACTAAATACAATTTATCATTTCAATACACGATTCATTAATACAACATAAAATTAGAGAATTTTAATCTTTTTTAAATCACATATTTTGTAAATAAGTAGATTTGATATGACCCGATTAATAAACAAATTGAGTATGAGTAAAATCAATCAAATAAAATGCGTAACACGTTTTAATCGTATATTAGTTATACACGATTAGTACACGATACAAATTCAATATAAGACAATTGATTATACACAAATTAATAAAAAAAATAAAATATAGATTAAATATTTTTTTAACACGAACCACTGTCGTCCAACACAGTGAATAGACCTACAAATAGGGCAAGAGAACAACGAAGGAGGGGAGGGCCGACGACAGTGTTTAACAGTATGGTTCAGATTTTAGATAAAAACGTTGAAAAATCCTGTGGCTGTGGCTTGAGATGCGACTAACAAACAACCGCAACGCAATATCTGTTACTTTTTAGAACTTTTTGTTACCAATTTCAAGTGTTGAGTCCCACTAAGCGTTTAGTGGGTTATTCCACACCATTTAGTGGCATTATACGAGCAATATGGATATAAAGAAAATAATTTGTAGGAGTGATTTAATGGTTGAATTTGACATCCTTTAATTCAGACATCAAAACTTCCCCAACTTTTTAAGGATTAATCACTCTTATTTTATAGAGTATATATTCTAAACTTATTCGGCCTACGGTAACCGATGTTTAAGCTCAAACCTAAATATTTCGTAACCAAAAAAAAAAAATTCTTCGCTCAATGGGAGAAAAAAGATGAGTAAAAACTTGTCATGGCCACTTTGTATATCGTAACTTTCTGAGTTCGTATGATCTGTTCCCCAACATTCCACTTGGCATGTTTGGCTGGAAATCGCATCGCAAAATGCCGGAATGCTGCAAAATTGGCCAAAACAGTTTCCTCAAATATCCTTTTCACTGACGAAGGAGGCAAAGACATGAGCAAGATTTTGGTAATAGAACAGACAACGATACAATTATTTAATACGAATCGACACGAAAGTAATGAATTTGAGTTTGATCTTAACAAGATTAAGTGATAATCAAGTTTATGTCCATGTACCCAATTATCGATATATCACTCGATTACCGGCTTATCACCTGAACTCAATTTATTGTAAAATTATAACTTTTAATTAAAATTTTTTGAGTTATAAAATTAACGAGCAACATGAGNTCGTATATTAGTTATACACGATTAGTACACGATACAAATTCAATATAAGACAATTGATTATACACAAATTAATAAAAAAAATAAAATATAGATTAAATATTTTTTTAACACGAACCACTGTCGTCCAACACAGTGAATAGACCTACAAATAGGGCAAGAGAACAACGAAGGAGGGGAGGGCCGACGACAGTGTTTAACAGTATGGTTCAGATTTTAGATAAAAACGTTGAAAAATCCTGTGGCTGTGGCTTGAGATGCGACTAACAAACAACCGCAACGCAATATCTGTTACTTTTTAGAACTTTTTGTTACCAATTTCAAGTGTTGAGTCCCACTAAGCGTTTAGTGGGTTATTCCACACCATTTAGTGGCATTATACGAGCAATATGGATATAAAGAAAATAATTTGTAGGAGTGATTTAATGGTTGAATTTGACATCCTTTAATTCAGACATCAAAACTTCCCCAACTTTTTAAGGATTAATCACTCTTATTTTATAGAGTATATATTCTAAACTTATTCGGCCTACGGTAACCGATGTTTAAGCTCAAACCTAAATATTTCGTAACCAAAAAAAAAAAATTCTTCGCTCAATGGGAGAAAAAAGATGAGTAAAAACTTGTCATGGCCACTTTGTATATCGTAACTTTCTGAGTTCGTATGATCTGTTCCCCAACATTCCACTTGGCATGTTTGGCTGGAAATCGCATCGCAAAATGCCGGAATGCTGCAAAATTGGCCAAAACAGTTTCCTCAAATATCCTTTTCACTGACGAAGGAGGCAAAGACATGAGCAAGATTTTGGTAATAGAACAGACAACGATACAATTATTTAATACGAATCGACACGAAAGTAATGAATTTGAGTTTGATCTTAACAAGATTAAGTGATAATCAAGTTTATGTCCATGTACCCAATTATCGATATATCACTCGATTACCGGCTTATCACCTGAACTCAATTTATTGTAAAATTATAACTTTTAATTAAAATTTTTTGAGTTATAAAATTAACGAGCAACATGAGGTGTGTGTTGTGTAATTAAATTGTGTTAGATGGAGGTTAGTTTGGCGGTGTTTTAGGTTTGAGCAATACTATAAAGATTTAATTTATTGTAATTGTTAGATTATATTTTCAAATTAACTCTGAATATCATTTTCGTTTAGGTTTTGATGGTTACGATACTGGGATTTAGATCTCCTCTATTATCTTTTCTCTTCAATTTTTTTTCAATATAGTGTTAGATGAGTTACACGTGTAAGATTTTAAATTTTAATGGATAAGATGTTTCCTCATTCATTTTTGTTGTTGGTGGAGTGTTAACAATTATTAAAGAATTTTCTCATAAGAGAGAAATTTTATTCATTGAAATTCAAAATCTTACACGTGTTACTCATGTAACATTGTATTGAGGAAAATTGAAGGAAAGGGATAATAGAGGGGATCTGAATCCGCGATAGTGATATATTGATGGATCCTTTAATGGAGCTCAATGTTAGAGGTTAAATCATATCGCTTACCAAAATCTTCGGGGTCGTAATGTTATTTTCCAAATTATAGGGCCGCCTTATTACGTCACAAACATCAAGGAGTGTGGATGCAATTACGTATACGTATAAATACAGCACCAGCAATGACCACGTTACCCGTTCTTCGATCTCCCCATTCATTACGATACCAGTTCTTCGATCTCCCCATTCGGCATCACCGCTTCTGACTTCTCTCTACCCTAAGCTGCTATAGCCCCAATTCTTATACCATCTCTCCGGCGACGGAGAAAGAAAAAGAACTCCGGCGACCAGTGGACTACAATGAGCTCCTTTCCACCACAAGCCAATACAAGCACAGAATCCAATGAAGACGAATCACACCGTCTCTTATCCTCCCCATCTCCATCTCCAACATCACAATCACAATCACCGTCACCTCCACCGCCACTGTTATCCGACGGTGAGAACGATGAAAAAGAAGTCGCATTCGAATCCCGGGAAAAAATCTTGATTGTTGACTTTGAATCAGACACTGTAGCCGATGCCGATTTCTCGGTAGTCCCACCGTTCTCGTGGAAGAAGCTATGGCGATTTATGGGCCCAGGGTTTTTGATGAGCATAGCGTTTTTGGATCCAGGAAATTTGGAGGGAGATCTGCAGGCCGGAGCGATTGCGGGTTACTCGCTGTTGTGGTTGCTGATGTGGGCCACGGTTATGGGGCTGTTGATCCAGCTATTGTCAGCAAGAATTGGGGTGGCGACGGGGCGGCACTTGGCGGAGCTGTGTAGGGAGGAGTATCCATATTGGGCGAGTCTATTGTTGTGGTTCATGGCGGAGTTGGCTCTAATTGGGGCTGATATTCAGGAGGTGATTGGTAGTGCCATTGCTATTCAGATTCTTAGTAACGGTTTTTTCCCTCTCTGGGCTGGTGTTATAATCACAGCCTCTGATTGGTAATTTTCTTCTCTCTCTTTTTTTTTTCCAATTTTGATTGACTATCTGTTTGGTAGCTGAGACAATGTAGGAAAACAAAATAGCTTGAGCTATGAATCCAAGTGGTTGTTTTTTTGTTGGACTTGAAAGAATTTTATCCGAACCAAGGTTCCTTTTTTTCCCCGAGAAAAATCTTTATACAGAATTTTCACCATTTAACACTGTTCTAAATTTATGGTTTGTTATTTGTTAGTACAGTTAGTTGATTAGATGTTTCTTGATATACTTATTCCGCACAAGATGAAATTTCATTCTGTTTATTTTTTCTTTTTTGTTGTATTACTTTTCCGAACAGTTTCATATTTTTACTTCTTGAGAACTATGGGGTGAGAAAGTTGGAAGCTGTTTTTGCAGTTCTCATTTCAACTATGGCATTGGCATTTGCCTGGATGTTTGCTGAGGCAAAGCCGAGTGGAAAGGAGCTTGTAATAGGTTAGAATTTTTGTGTTTAGACAGCCCTTCTTCTTGCAAGTAGTTTTGTCCACATGTCGATAAAATCACATTTGATGCCATTTGCAGGTCTTTTGGTTCCAAAACTTAGCTCAAGAACAATTCGACAGGCTGTGGGAGTGGTCGGCTGTGTTATAATGCCTCATAATGTGTTTTTGCACTCCGCTTTGGTACAGTCAAGGAAGGTTGACCCCAAGAAGAAAGGTCAGGTCCAGGAGGCCCTGAATTACTATTCACTTGAATCCTCAGTTGCCCTTCTTGTCTCCTTCATGATCAATTTGTTTGTTACAACTGTCTTTGCGAAAGGATTTTATGGTACTAAACAAGCGGATAATATTGGCTTAGTAAATGCGGGGCAATATCTTCAAGAGAAATATGGTGGTGGACTGTTACCAATACTTTATATTTGGGGTATTGGCTTATTAGCAGCTGGGCAAAGTAGCACAATAACGGGCACCTATGCTGGGCAGTTTATAATGGGAGGTTTCATCAATCTTCGATTGAAAAAGTGGTTGAGGGCATTAATTACAAGAAGTTGTGCCATTTTTCCAACTATAATTGTAGCTCTTGTTTTCAACAGATCTCAAGGTTCACTGGATGTCCTGAATGAATGGCTTAATGTGCTTCAGTCTGTGCAGATTCCCTTTGCGCTCATCCCGCTTCTTACTTTGGTGTCTAAGGAGCAGCTCATGGGTGTCTTTAAAATTGGACCTACTCTGGAGGTAAATTTTTCTTTCCCTATCCTGTAATTTGGGTGCAGAATAATCATTGCTTTGTGCAAATGGCCTTACCGAGGATTAAGTAGTAATCCGTGGCTGGCACGACAATTTTACCTTGATCCTAATAGTTTTGTTCAAGACCTTGTAAGATAATGTAAAGGGATAGAGTTCATGAAGTTAACTGTAGTAGCTTTGGATACGGGCAGTGCACCCTATCAAGTGAGAGAAAGTTAGGAGAGAAGTGGTTGTAGTTGGCCCCATGACCTAAACTCAAGAGTCCAACAAATTTTCTAGGATGTCCAACACATTACACTAGGCTGCTTATGGTTTTTACTTTTTTTCTTTCTTTGGGGTATGTGTGTGTGTGTGTGTGGAGGAGGGATAGGGAGATGGTACTGATGACTGCCTGTATTTAATATGGTGCTGATTTACTTTTCCTTTTCCTTCTGCTGGTAAGTAAATAAGAGTAGTTGGCTTTGTAATTTATTGTAAACTCGCATGCTTTTTGCCATGGTTGATGGTTACAGATAAATAGGTCGTTAATCTGCCTAATTGTATCAGCTGACACACTTGAGCAGCAAGAATCAAGCTTATTTTTAAGGTTTCCACAGCAGATTATTGGCCTGGTGACATGTTGAGCCACCAAAAAGAGTTTTTGCAGGCATGATTTACATTATGGGCTCGTTTGGTTGCCTTATTAGAAATAAATGGATTAGATATAGTAATTCAGTCTAATACAATACAGAAGGACAAAAAANTTTGCTGAGGCAAAGCCGAGTGGAAAGGAGCTTGTAATAGGTTAGAATTTTTGTGTTTAGACAGCCCTTCTTCTTGCAAGTAGTTTTGTCCACATGTCGATAAAATCACATTTGATGCCATTTGCAGGTCTTTTGGTTCCAAAACTTAGCTCAAGAACAATTCGACAGGCTGTGGGAGTGGTCGGCTGTGTTATAATGCCTCATAATGTGTTTTTGCACTCCGCTTTGGTACAGTCAAGGAAGGTTGACCCCAAGAAGAAAGGTCAGGTCCAGGAGGCCCTGAATTACTATTCACTTGAATCCTCAGTTGCCCTTCTTGTCTCCTTCATGATCAATTTGTTTGTTACAACTGTCTTTGCGAAAGGATTTTATGGTACTAAACAAGCGGATAATATTGGCTTAGTAAATGCGGGGCAATATCTTCAAGAGAAATATGGTGGTGGACTGTTACCAATACTTTATATTTGGGGTATTGGCTTATTAGCAGCTGGGCAAAGTAGCACAATAACGGGCACCTATGCTGGGCAGTTTATAATGGGAGGTTTCATCAATCTTCGATTGAAAAAGTGGTTGAGGGCATTAATTACAAGAAGTTGTGCCATTTTTCCAACTATAATTGTAGCTCTTGTTTTCAACAGATCTCAAGGTTCACTGGATGTCCTGAATGAATGGCTTAATGTGCTTCAGTCTGTGCAGATTCCCTTTGCGCTCATCCCGCTTCTTACTTTGGTGTCTAAGGAGCAGCTCATGGGTGTCTTTAAAATTGGACCTACTCTGGAGGTAAATTTTTCTTTCCCTATCCTGTAATTTGGGTGCAGAATAATCATTGCTTTGTGCAAATGGCCTTACCGAGGATTAAGTAGTAATCCGTGGCTGGCACGACAATTTTACCTTGATCCTAATAGTTTTGTTCAAGACCTTGTAAGATAATGTAAAGGGATAGAGTTCATGAAGTTAACTGTAGTAGCTTTGGATACGGGCAGTGCACCCTATCAAGTGAGAGAAAGTTAGGAGAGAAGTGGTTGTAGTTGGCCCCATGACCTAAACTCAAGAGTCCAACAAATTTTCTAGGATGTCCAACACATTACACTAGGCTGCTTATGGTTTTTACTTTTTTTCTTTCTTTGGGGTATGTGTGTGTGTGTGTGTGGAGGAGGGATAGGGAGATGGTACTGATGACTGCCTGTATTTAATATGGTGCTGATTTACTTTTCCTTTTCCTTCTGCTGGTAAGTAAATAAGAGTAGTTGGCTTTGTAATTTATTGTAAACTCGCATGCTTTTTGCCATGGTTGATGGTTACAGATAAATAGGTCGTTAATCTGCCTAATTGTATCAGCTGACACACTTGAGCAGCAAGAATCAAGCTTATTTTTAAGGTTTCCACAGCAGATTATTGGCCTGGTGACATGTTGAGCCACCAAAAAGAGTTTTTGCAGGCATGATTTACATTATGGGCTCGTTTGGTTGCCTTATTAGAAATAAATGGATTAGATATAGTAATTCAGTCTAATACAATACAGAAGGACAAAAAATAAGATTAAATAGGGTATTAGAATAATATGTAATTTTATCAAGTGTTTGGTAATACACAATATAAGTGTTGGATAATAGTTATTTAATTCAATCGGTTCTTTTCGTTAGAGAATTATTTCATTGTATTAATGTTAAATTAACAAAAATATCCTCAATCAGTATTTGGTACATTAATGACAACTTGATTTTATCAGTTAAGGGGTTATAATAATAAATGTGTAGAATAATACGTTTGAGTTGGATTATAATACCACCTCTCTTGGTGGTATTAAAAAACCTCTATAATACAGAGCTATCGTATAAAAAATATACGATCAAGAGACGTTTTTAAAATTAATATAGTATCAAATTTGCTTACCAAACAAAATATTAGCCCGATTAAATAAAAAATAGTAGAATCCAATATTTAATTCCCTCATAATATGTTTACCAAACGAGCCCTATATTAATTAGAGAACTAGTTACAATATTGAGCTGGAATGGATAAATTGAGTTAGTCAGTTAGAAATATGTGGGGTGTTGAAATGTATTTGAGTTGTGATTAATAATGAACTTACGGATGATGAAGTCTGTGAACAATGGCATTCCCAGGTTGAGCCATAAATTGGAGGGAACCATGATTGAAAAAATCGAGCAAGATAAAGCTGCCGAGCAATTTACAGAATGTTCACTGGCTTTATTTGTAGGACTACCTTCCTCTTAATACCTTGAAAGATTGGAAGAAAGAAATAGTGGTAAAAATTTTCACATCAAGTATAAAATGTGGCTGGTCCAATGGAATGGCATAAATAATTAAATATGGACTAATCTGCTTCAAGCTAAAATACTGCATGCTCAACTTAGTCAAGCCCTTCTCCCAATGGCAAATCCTGTTGAAGTTGGAATATACCGAGGTTGTATGCATGACCAGCTGGTTACTTGGATATGGATGTTTCTCTAAACTTGGGATGTGATTTTGTAGATATGGGGTGCTTTGTTATGGTAGTGGTTAAATCAGTTGCCAAATGATTTAAAAACAAGAAACTGTCTTGGTTCCTATTTTCTCATACTTTGTTGATTTGTGTTGTAGAGAATTGCATGGTCTGTGGCTGCCCTGGTAATAGTGATCAATGGCTATCTGTTGCTGGATTTTTTCATTTCTGAAGTTGATGGACTGCTGTTTGGTTTTCTTGTCTGTACGGGGACGGCTGCATATATCGCATTTATATTATATCTTATTTCACATGGTGAAGGCCTCCCTTCCACTTGGTTCAATTTACTACTGTCCAAGGGGTATGTTTATGTAGGGAATTGAGCTGACAATTGTCATTTTGCCTAGACGAAACTTCCAACTGTCAAGGTCTGTGGTCCAGCCTTGGCAAGTAGCAGATGGTCCAATGTTCTGCTTTTCCGAAGCTGAAGCATTCCTTTAATCCATTTACCTCTGAACTTCAGCTTACTGACTGTGAGTTACAAGTCAAACGATTGAGAATATACTTTCATGCATCGCACCTTTGTGCATAATGACAGATTTGAAATATACCATTCAAGACATTCTTTATCCTTTCTGGAGGATGGACAAAACATCTTTGTCTGCTGGATGAAGGTTTTACTTCTCTACCACTGTATTTCCCGTTGATCTAGACCCAACTTTTGTTGTATTCACAATGTACCAAGAAGATATTTTTTTTTCTCTGAAGCTGTGAAGATTTTTTCTTGTGCAACAGTCAAATCGTAATTGTCTGATATCCAGAAGGGGGACTATTCTATAGATGCAAGATGACATGCGTTCTTCAAATTTGTTTTCATGACGAAGCTTTTTCACCTCTATTCTTTACTGTCATTATGTTTTTGTGGTTCAGACATTAGAAAGCATGTTCCTCTTAAATTTATGCAAAAGATAAGCTCTTGATATGCTGACCCTAACTTTATTGGTTGACCTAATATTTTTTTATAATTGAATTGATAGTGGACCTTACTATTGATTTTAACTTGTTATTAATTCAGCGATTAATATTTATTATACCAGTAAATTAAATTCAAATAATAATTTGTCTTTTTACTAGTCTTCTTATATAACTTACCAAGGCCAGGGTTGTCACTTACAGGTAGAAATGGTCTTTTTCCTGAATCAAGGACTGGACCAACATACTAGGCAAACTCTTTACTTCGGCTTTCACATCAAAGAGAGGGTGATGCAAAATAAATATTTTTTTGGTCACAGACGTGAATGATGAGATTCGAATCTATAACTTTGAGATTGAATATTGGAAGTGGTGACCAGTAGACCAACTGTTAACCTTGGTAATTGTTATGCAAAATTAAGAACAATCGCTTGTTCTTTTTTTCCAACCATTTACACGTCTAAAAGAAAGCAGCCCCTTTTCTCTCTCCCTTTTCCCAAAAAAAAATAAAAAATAAAAAATAAAAAAAGAAAGCAGTTCCCCCAACTAACTAACAATGAGAAATAAATTTTAACACACAGTTCAAGTGATAATAATAAGGATAAATGGTAAATTTATATATCTTTAATTCAAATTTTGATAACTATTGGGGTCAACTACGAGAAATTTAATTTAAACCTTGAAAAAAAAAGGATTAATTATAAATTATACCTTGAAAGATTGTTCAAATATTAATTTTCACCTTAAAGATCAAAAATTTAAATTTATACCATTAAAAATAGAAATTTGTATCAATATGCACCTCCAAAATCAAAAATCTCAATCTGCACTCTCAAATATAGAAATTTATATCAATATACACCTCCAAAGATCAAAAATCTCAATTTACACCCTCAAAAATAAAAAAAAAATTAAGATTCAAACAATGTATAATTTACCAAAAAAAAAAAAAAAGCAACGAGAAATAAGAAAAAAATACGTTACTAGTCTAAAGCCAGTTCCCAAGGCACAATTTTCTCCCCCAAACATGGAATCAGCAATTTGCGTTGGATGATTTATTTGGCAATGGCATTCAGCTCCAAGTTTCATTCAATACCCCTCAAAACACTCCACTCCTTTCATCGATTTAGCCAAGTTCTACAGTCTACAAGCTTCCATGGTACTAGAGACACCATGATTGACTGCTGTTAATGCTCGAGTTCTGCGTAAAACCCCTGTTTAGCAACTTTTCAGATTGATTCTCCACTTCATTTCCCTCTAGTTCCTGAAAATTACAGGGTTTCCAAGATCGATCAATGAGTGCTCCTAAACGAGAAGATGGCAATGAAGCCCACAGTCTCGTGGCCTCTCAACATCCGCCATCACCTTCATCATCATCATCTAACAATGGTGATGACGAAGCGCGAGGGAACATTCTGACATTCGATGTTGATTTGAGCGACGAAGATGATTATTCTGTGATGGCTCCACCTTTCTCGTGGAGGAAGTTATGGGAGTTCACAGGACCAGGGTTCTTGATGAGTATAGCGTTTCTGGATCCCGGAAATTTGGAGGGTGATATACGTGCTGGAGCTCTAGCCGGGTACTCATTGCTGTGGTTGTTGATGTGGTCCACGTTTTTGGGCTTGTTGATCCAGCTGCTGTCGTTGAGAGTGGGTGTTGCAACGGGGCGGCACATGGCGGAACTGTGTAGGGAGGAGTATCCGTATTTGGCGCGGCTGCTGTTGTGGTTCACGGCGGAGCTGGCCTTGATAGCGGCTGATATTCAGGAGGTGATTGGGAGCGCCATTGCTATTCAGATTCTAAGTGATGGAGTTTTGCCTCTTTGGGCTGGAGTCCTAATTACCGCTTCTGATTGGTAGTATTTGTACCTACTTCTCAATGTTATCACTTTCATTGGTTGCTCAGAAAAAGCAGGGGAAAAAAATTACAATATAAATGGAAAGATTAGTTGATCTTTAATTATAAAATCTGCATGTCTCCTTATATTCGATCATCGGTTCCGTTATGATCAGAAGGCTCCTATCTTAATAGTATATTAATGCAGCCATTATCTTATTGTACCCATTGGTCTAGAAAATACCCACTACTAAGGTTTTTTGATTTCATCCAAACTACTGAGCTTAGCAGTTTTTGTTAGTGATTTTGAAAATGTTAGTTCACTTTGTTGACTGTGTTGTTTGTGTATTTTACCTTCATGAACAGCTTCATCTTTTTATTTCTTGAGAACTATGGGGTGAGGAAATTAGAAGCTGTTTTTGCTGTTCTTATTACAACAATGGCACTATCATTTGCCTGGATGTTTGCTGGCACAGCACCTAGCAGAAAGGAACTTCTAATAGGCCAGAAACTTGTTTACTCTGCTGTTCTTTCTTGGCTTTTGGTTAAGTATCATTAGAGGTTGCATCCATTGACAGAACTGAATGTTGTCAATCCTGTTTGCAGGTCTTTTGGTTCCACGGCTTAGCTCCAAAACACTTCAGACAGCCGTGGGAGTTGTGGGTTGTGTCATAACACCTCACAATGTATATTTGTATTCTGCCTTGGTACATACAAGGAAGATTGACCCTAACAAGAAAGGTCGGGTCCAAGAGGCCCTCAATTACTACACAATTGAGTCCGCAATTGCTGTTTTTGTCTCCTTCATCATCAATTTGCTTGTCACAACTGTCTTTGCAAAGGGATTCTATAGCACCAAACAATCCAGTAGTATAGGGCTTGTAAATGCTGGGCAATATCTTCAAGGGAGGTATGGTAAAGGCTATTTCCCAATTCTCTATATCTGGGGCATAGGGCTATTGGCAGCTGGAACAAGTAGCACCATTACTGGCACTTACGCAGGACAGTTTATCATGGAAGGTTTTCTTAACCTTCGTATGAGGAAATGGATGAGGTCATTGATCACAAGAAGTTGTGCTATCCTGCCAACCATAATTGTAGCTATCGTATTTAACAGATCGGAAGCTTCAATAGATGTTCTGAGTGAATGGCTTAATGTACTTCAGGGTATGCAAATTCCATTTGTGCTTATCCCACTTCTTACATTGGTGTCCAATGAGCTGCTCATGGGGGTTTTTAAGATTGGAACTGCCATGAAGGTAAGGAGTTAATTTCATTGCTTTGTCAACTTCATTGCTTAATAGTTATTGCATTGTACAGATGGCCTCAAGAAATATTTAATCATTTATCTACAGCAGTTATAATTTAACACTAATATAATACAATTTTAAATGTTCAAGATGCTGTTTAACAAGAAAGCCTGATGTAATACAAAGAAAATAAAACCCTCTTTAAATTGGTGCCTTTCTCAACTTGCCTATAATTGGTCCTTTATGAGATTGTATTCTTATAGACTCGAAGGATAATATTCTGTTACGAGCTAATATTGAAAATACCTGCTTACGTATATTTTCGCTTCATTACACATCAAACTACAAAGCTATGTACTGTTTTTTTTGTTTTTGGGGGGGTAAGTATCTATGTACTGTTTTACTATAGGTAGAAGCATGCTCATTGTGTGATTGATGGTAACATGCAATTAGGCCTCTAAGAATCTGCTGGCACATTGGAGCAGAAAGAGTCAAGCTTGCCTATAGTGTGTTATATTATCAATCAGGTGGATGCAGCCCCCATATGGTAACCAACTAAGCTTCTGATAGTTTGCCACAACTAGTCTGGTCTGGTGTTCTTGTTAAGCCCCTTATCTACTAGGAGTGTTTTGGCTTTCATGTCCTTTGACATGAATTTGGTAAGAAAGATGAGTTCTACAACTTTAGAATTGATCACTCAAGTGCAGGTTGTACAACATAATAAATTTTTAGGGAGTCCAAGGTCGAACCACATTGAATTAGAAAAACAAGAGACACAAAACAAATAAAAAGAAATTGGTTAAAATTTGTTTGAGTAGGAAATTATTCAACAGAACAAAGATGGGTTGGTTAAAACAATAATTGAAATACTAAAGCATTGGAGATATCCTTTTAAATTCACACATTAATTATTAATGGTCCATTTTCGAACTCAATTAAAAATCAGAGGAGTAATTCCAATCGGAATATTTAGCGGTGATAATATGAAAACATCAAAAGTTATAATTAATGAATTATTTGAATAAATATAAGAATTTACTTGTAGATCACAATCATTCACAGTATTCGGAGTCTACGATAAATCAAGTTTTCCAACAGGTAAATCTTACTTTATTTGCAAATAATAAATCAACTATCTTATGAAAAATTTTAATTAATTAATTCAATTATGGAATAATTAATTAATTGAGTCGCTGGAAATCTCAAGTATTCGATGTACATGGCACAACGAATCAAGAAATTATACAGAGCAAAATTTTTACTAAAAGACAAGAATTAAATTAAAAGAATAAATTTTGCGTTAAAAAGAACATTGAATCAATAATAAATATTGTGTTTCATTGAAAGTATATTACCTAGTTTTAGTTGGGTTTTTAGCGAGCCTTAAAACTAGAACAAAAATTAGAAAAGAAAATATGGGAAAAGAATAATAATCCTCTCTTAATCGATGAAAACTTTTATTTATACTAATATTAATCTTAGATATGGGTATAAGATATAAGGTTGGCTTGGGAGGAATTTTTTTCTAAAAAGAAGTCTTTTAAGGTTAAATTTCGGGTATAAAATTTTGGAGGCACAGGTACAAAATATGTCCAGACTTCATACTTGAATTTCACATATTTAGATGCTGACTCACGAAATTTTCGTAATACACTTCTGTAGCCCTTAAAGTCTTCTTTCTAACCTGCAAAAATCAGGTCAATCAGATATCAGAGTCAAAAGTTATAATCAAAATATTGAAAACGTGTTAAATCTTTATGTTCTATAATACTTTTCTAATCTAACTTTAAATGAGTTTTCTTCTAATTTGGACATTAAATTGCTACTTTATCGTCAAATTTTCATTTCTTAATCTTGACTCTTCAATTCTGATCAATTGTGATGTTTCCTGTAGTAATTACTTTACTTGCATTATACATTATTACTTTAAATCAACTAATTTACTTGTAAAATAAACCAAACAACTAAAAAAATTATCAAACTAAAAAATTAAGAAATTTAACACATTTAATCACAAATAATATGTAATTAACTAATCATTAAATATAATAAAAAATGACTTTTGATGGTTAATCAATGAGTGAACCTTTTGGGAGTTTGAATGGTGTACATGGAGTAGAACATTTATGGGTGAGGTATAGCCGGAACTAAAATAAATTACATATGCGATCAATGGCGCCCCAAGGTAGGCTGATGTATGAGAGGAGATTCGCAGTTCTCTGTTATGCGTTTAGCAAGGGAAGACGGGATATATCAGCTATCCCAGTGCTTAAACGATGATTGCTGTGTGCATTACCACATTTTTCAATTTTCAGTTGGCCATTTCACTACAGCAGTTGAAATTTGTATTTTCTCATCCTCTGAAGAGAAAGTTGCTTTAGATGCCAGTAGCTACAGTCGAGCTTTTCCCAATATTAATCATATATGATGGTGGTTGTTTTTAAAAATGTTGATGATAGTGCCTTTTGGTTAAATGTACCGCCTAATATTTGAAAATAAGCAAATACATGTGCCTAGTTTCTCATAGTTTTCTTCATTTGTGCTGTAGGGGACCATGTGGACCGTGGCTACCTTAGTGGTACTGATCAATGGGTACGTTTTGCTGAATTTCTTCGTTTCTGAGGTTAACGGACTGCTGTTTGGATTTGTGCTCTGCCTCGGCACTTCTGCGTATGTGGCATTTATCATATACCTTATTACACGAGGTCGTGGCCAGCCTTACACTTGGTTCAGCCACATACCCGCTCATGACCTGAGGGACTGAGTCCATGAAGATGTTCATGTTTGCATGAACAAACTTCAAAATGTCTTGGTACACAGTCCACCAAAGCCTTGCTGAATCAATTTCAGTGCATATTGTGAACAAGTAACAAGACTTCTAGCTCATAGTTCTGTTAGACATGTAGGTTATATTCATACCGGTTTCTCATGTGAAACCATATATGAAGTTCAATCACTCCCCGGTGAAAGATTTTACCAAAAAAAGTTGATTTTTTTTTCTAACCATAATTATGTCAAAGATTACATTGTATGCTGGTTCGGACACCTCTAACCGTTGAATCAAAAAAAAAAACAAAACAAAGCAAAAGACTACAAGCCAATACCCTAATTTTACCCAGCCTCCTGAGGTCTCAAAAATTCTACATTCTTCGTAACTGAGCTCACTGTAATTTTTATTTGACCCCCAAAATGATAATATTTTCGATTCTGCACTAACAATTGAGTTTTATCCAATCTCCCATGTCTAAGAAATTGCATTCTTCATAATTGAGTTCTATGTTATTTTTATTTCTTCCCCTTTTCATCATTGTTTTTGGAATATTTCAAGGTATTTCATAATGTTTTAATATATATATATATTTTGACAATGAGGATGTTTTGGTATATTTCGACTAATATTTCTAAATAGTTTGGAAGTAAACGCTTAAATTTTTTATTGGTTTTCATGTTATTTTTGAAACATCTCGAAACATTTTTATTTTTTAAGTGATCGAAATAATACACCAAAATAAAAGAGGATCTCAAGTCCCTATCCAAAGCTAATGTTAATGGATTTTAGTTTTATCAAAGATAAGATTTGTTTAAATAAGACACATGGGCGGAGCTACCATTGGGCTATGTGCCCCCTCTCAAAAATTTTTTCTTAACATTAGTTATGTATTTTTTTAAAATAAAATTTAAGTATATTTTGTTGTGCCCACTCAATTATTGTGTTCTTGTGATATAGTTTAGGATAAAAAATTCATACCTATATGGTTACTAACTTTTGATCAATGCTATTAGAACCTAATTTCAATACTTAATATATTGTGATATTAAATCTAATTAATAGTGAGACTCAATATTTAATAAAATTCACTATTTATACGATGGATACGATGTAGACATGAATGAATAAGTTTTAGACATATTAAAAGTATTTTGTAATTTTTTAAAATTATATGATTATTTTATTATTATATAGAAATAAGTGTCATTATGTAAGAATCTACAAAGTCATAAATAAAATATTGTTACCGTGATTTTATATATAGAAAAAAAATATTTATTGATGGCATTAATTTGTAACATTTTCAAAAGATAAAAAAATCATCAAAGTTAATTATAAATGATAATAATTATTTTCTTTTTTTGTACCAAATTATAATTAATTTTTTTTTATTTCTTGTGTAAACGCAATGTAGATCAATTTATAATTTTTTATGTTTAATAAACTTTGAAGTTTTTATATATGATTTAAACAAATACAAATTTATAAACTTGTATGGCTCTGATAAAAAATAAAAAAACTTTTACGATCAATTAAAAAAAATATATATAACTTATTAATGTGCCCACTTAAATTAATTTTCTGGCTCCGCTCCTTATAAGACATGTACCTAATGCAATTCGAACACCGTCATACATAATTATAAATTAATAAAGTATGAGTTTAGCAAAGTTTTACGAAAAGAACTCTAATTGAATGGTTAAAATTCAGGCCGCTAACATTTTATGATTGTAAGTTTGAAACTAGAGAGTAGCCAATTTGTGAACAAAATAACTATTTTCCCCCAACCCTATTCCTCCCCAATAGCACAACGCAACGCACACAATTTCAAATCGCTATAAGACACAATCCATTGATAATCTTTAGTATAACTCTAAGGCATAGCTTAAATGATAAAGACGGACGAATTATAAATTCAGACGTCACGAGTTTGAAATTTGGTAATTTTTTATCTTCAAGTCATGATAAATTTATTTCTCATAAATAATTTAGTTTCGATATGAATAACCTACCTTTTACCGAATAGAAGACAAGATTAGTCAAAATATATGTAAAATNTTTTTCTTAACATTAGTTATGTATTTTTTTAAAATAAAATTTAAGTATATTTTGTTGTGCCCACTCAATTATTGTGTTCTTGTGATATAGTTTAGGATAAAAAATTCATACCTATATGGTTACTAACTTTTGATCAATGCTATTAGAACCTAATTTCAATACTTAATATATTGTGATATTAAATCTAATTAATAGTGAGACTCAATATTTAATAAAATTCACTATTTATACGATGGATACGATGTAGACATGAATGAATAAGTTTTAGACATATTAAAAGTATTTTGTAATTTTTTAAAATTATATGATTATTTTATTATTATATAGAAATAAGTGTCATTATGTAAGAATCTACAAAGTCATAAATAAAATATTGTTACCGTGATTTTATATATAGAAAAAAAATATTTATTGATGGCATTAATTTGTAACATTTTCAAAAGATAAAAAAATCATCAAAGTTAATTATAAATGATAATAATTATTTTCTTTTTTTGTACCAAATTATAATTAATTTTTTTTTATTTCTTGTGTAAACGCAATGTAGATCAATTTATAATTTTTTATGTTTAATAAACTTTGAAGTTTTTATATATGATTTAAACAAATACAAATTTATAAACTTGTATGGCTCTGATAAAAAATAAAAAAACTTTTACGATCAATTAAAAAAAATATATATAACTTATTAATGTGCCCACTTAAATTAATTTTCTGGCTCCGCTCCTTATAAGACATGTACCTAATGCAATTCGAACACCGTCATACATAATTATAAATTAATAAAGTATGAGTTTAGCAAAGTTTTACGAAAAGAACTCTAATTGAATGGTTAAAATTCAGGCCGCTAACATTTTATGATTGTAAGTTTGAAACTAGAGAGTAGCCAATTTGTGAACAAAATAACTATTTTCCCCCAACCCTATTCCTCCCCAATAGCACAACGCAACGCACACAATTTCAAATCGCTATAAGACACAATCCATTGATAATCTTTAGTATAACTCTAAGGCATAGCTTAAATGATAAAGACGGACGAATTATAAATTCAGACGTCACGAGTTTGAAATTTGGTAATTTTTTATCTTCAAGTCATGATAAATTTATTTCTCATAAATAATTTAGTTTCGATATGAATAACCTACCTTTTACCGAATAGAAGACAAGATTAGTCAAAATATATGTAAAATGACCCGGATATACATGGCATTAAATTAGATCTTTAATAACATTATTGAATTTGTTAAGACGTATCACTAGTTGACTTGTAACCAGAAAGGTGTGGTCCTTCATTTTGTCGGGCTAAGCAAAGCAGCATGCATGGACAGACTTGAATAGTCTTAATTTCAAAGGTTACCAATTATAGTTAAATTCAACGCTTCATTGTTACGCTAATTGAATCCCACCTCTTCTTGTTCAACCTAACATGCATTTTAGAGTGTCGTATGGGGCGATAGCCACATAACAATCACGCATTCAAACAAGAGATTTTCTTCGCTATGTAAATGGAGAGCCAAAATAAGTACTAGACCTTCAATAAAAGAATAGATTAAGGTGATAAGAGTGTTATCAAGAGACGTTAGATTTTAGAATTGAAAAAAAAATGCTCTCCTTTTTCTTTCAAATAATAATTTTCTTTTCCTTCGAACAACCTAGCTTCTTATAAAGCATAGAAAGCCAATAGCCAACGAAGTTTGAAGGCATACGTTTTGTGACCAACTTTTGTCCTCAATTTTCAAAAGAATTAAATTGATGTTGACCAAAAGAAAGGGAATAAGAAAAAATGACACTCAATTCATTTTTTTTTTATTCAACGGTCAAGGTATTCAAATCAGTTTACGCGTGATTTAATTAATCATTTATGCGATCTGATCAAAAATAAATCATTCATACCAAAATTATTAAAGGTTGCCAAGATTCCTCAAATCATCCTTTTTTTAGAAGGTGGAAACTAAACTTTGACTCTGTTTCGTTTTTTAGGTTTTCTTCTTTGACCAAATCCATCACATTTACTAATTGATAACGTAATGGTCTTCATTGGTATAACGCAGTCATCTTCTTTGTGCTTTCCTCCTTACTATTTAAAGATATAGTTAACCATGACAAGTAAATTTTTTAGTGTGGTCATTATGACCATGCTTTTATTTTTGCCTATGTTTAATTCCCGGTAAACGTCAATACAATTTCCAGTCGTCTGTCATAAATTCAAAATTTGACAATTTATCAGAGTCAGATCATCAAAAATTTATCTTTCGTAAATATCTTAATTTTAACGTAAATAACTTATTTTTAATTAAATCGAGGATGAGATTAATCTCAGTACTCCGCGTTATCTTTTCATTTCAGCTAAAGGTTGGCTTATATCACAAGTCACAGCTTGACTTGGACTTGTACACAAATCTAAAACCATTTCGATATCCTCGTGCTGATGGAGACTAGTATATTATATATATAATATTAAAAGTAAGAACAATAATATATACAAATTATTAAATATTCACATGAGCAACAAATTATTATCAATCTGCCAATCGAACTGTAATGAATAACACATGAAACGCTTGGAGGTGATGGAATTTGTATTTTTTATTATTATTATTATAATTTTTAGTTCAGATTTTCTTAATAAAAATTATGATTTATGAATTCAGATGAAATCCCCAACCAATATCCTGTGTGATCTATCCATGATTGATGAGAGATTAAGAACATTATTAAGTGATGGGACTCTAATTCAAAGTCATATGTATAGATTGATTAGATTGTTTATAATATTATTATATTATTACACACCAAAAAATAAAATATAATATATATTGAACTGTGAAATTCGACCAGGTGATTACATGTGTACAATAATTTAACATATATAAGATTTTATTTTTTTCATATAAATGAGTTTAAAATAGTTTAGAAGTCCTTATAAAAAAGTTTAAATTCAAATAGGTGTAAAAAATATAAATAAAATGAAACTATATAGACAGGTATAATAGACTTTATCATACTAATTAAAAATAAAATAGAAAATCTTTGTAGTTCAGAAGAATTTAAAAGTCTTTATAAAAGAGTTCAAAATAAGTTGAGAGTTAAATAAGTGTAAAAAAATATAAATTAGATGAAAACTATGTAGACGAGTATAATAGATTTTATCATAATAATTAATGATAAAATTAAAAATTAAAAAAATTTCACACATACTGACATATATAAATAATATAAATATACATATAGACAAAAGGAAGTCTTTTAAAGTTGTTTATTCAGAGTTATTTATCTTCTACAGTTGTTGGATTTCATCCAATTTTTGGATATAATTCATTGGTTGGAGTGAATTATATTAATAAATGAGAGAATATTTAATACAAAGGTGATATTAAATTAATATTGATGATATAATATTATTAATTATTAATAAAATATTAAATAAGTAAAAAAAAAAATTTATATGAAAAAAGTGTGACAGTTATCTACTTTGATAGATGGGTGAGGGAATGAATATGAACCCGGTTCACGCATGAAGACCTTTCCCCATATTGCATGCATTCTCTCTCATCATCAGTTCTAGTATTTCCCTTTCTCTTCTATTACTCTCCTACTGCTCTGGTTGGCTCCAACATCTATCAAAATCTCAATACATCTCGAAATTTTCGAACCCCAAAAAATCGCATCAGTAATCACTTCCGATATATTTTTTTCAATATTAAGATTCAATGAACCACATTAATCGGCTATAAAACCCTCTCAAAACCCTCATTAACCCTCACCTGTGTCTCGCACACAGTTCTCTTCCTGCTTCCTCAATATTCCTGTGTCCGGTACTGAGTCTCCAACGATGGAGAACAGAATAGGCGCCGGAAACGGTAATACTCAACGCCACCATTCCAAAGACTCTCCGTCTTTGTTTCCAACATCTGGGTCTTTTTCTTTCCCACAAAATTCTTCCCAAAACCATTCTCGATACACAAATCAATCGCCAAGAAAAGCAAATAGCCCTTTTTATCCTTATCAAACTCTAGATTCAGCTTTCTCTGGTCTCGATCTTTCTTCATCTCGTCGCGATCAACAGTTCTCCTCTCCTCCAAGGAGTCTCTACGATGAAGCTGGTTATTCTACTCCGCTCGATGACCGGATCTTCGGCGAGGATTTTCTGCGGTTTTCTTTTCATGGAAGAGAGCAAACGAATTGGAGCTTGGAAAGGTCTAGGGTTCAAAACGCCGTGAACGGTCAGTTGGGTGATTTTGGTGGGACCCATCGAGATCCGATGGTGGGGTCGGAGAGTTGGCAGGGTTTACTTACCCCTTCTAATTCAATGGCTGTCGCTGGTGAGCCACGGTATGGAGGCGACTATGTGAATCCTTGCTCTGACATTATTCTAAGAAATAATCATGTGTCTTTCTTGCACCGCAAGGAACAATTGCCTAGACAAATTGGGACCCAAGTCCCAAATACGTCCTGTTTGTACAGAGATGGTTTTGATACGAGATTTATGGGTAATTTTGAGGGGCCAGTGAATGGTTTTGTACCCAATAATTTGTATAATCAGACGCAAAATTCGTATAGTCGTTCTTTGTATCAACTGTCGCAACAATTGAATTCATTGTCTTTGGCGGATTTGAGGGGAAACATAGTTGCTTTGGCAAAAGAACAATATGGATGTCGACTTTTGCAAATGAAGTTTGAGGACCCGAAGGAGGAAGAGACTGAGATGGTCTTATCAGAGGTGATAGACAATGTTGTTGATTTGATGAAGAACCAATTTGGGAATCACCTTATTCAGAAGCTTGTTGAGGTGTGCACTGAAGAACAGAGGACCCGTATTGTTCTCTCTGTGACCAAGATCCGATTTCAACTCATTGTTATATGCCTCAATCCACACGGGTATGCCCAGTATTTAGTTAGATTGTTGTTTTCTTTGAATTAGTATTCTCTATTTGATTGGGTTTATTCAATCTACAGTATTATGGTGAAGTTGTAGTATTGCCATATGTATCGATGTTTCGTGTTCTTGTCACAGAGCTAGGGCAGTAAAGAAATTGCTGGAGCATCTTACTACTCCGCAGCAAATCTCCTTGGTTTTGTCAGCTCTAAGCCCTGGTGCTGCGGTATTGTCCAATGATCCTATTGCACATCAAGTGATTCAGTATTGCTTGATTCGTTTCACAACTCAAGACACGAAGGTAATGCATTCTTCTGGCTGTTGGTTTGCATGAGTTCTCTTATACTGGGCTTGTATAATGGTGCAAGTCTAATGATATTCTAGATTAGTAGTAATTGATCCCCTTATTGTTTTTATAAGTGGATGTATATAGCTTAGCTTGTGTAAAGCCATACACCTTTAATTTACTAATCTGTTGGGTCAATAGATCAGTGCACAGAGACATTTGTCCTGATAATATGATCTCTCTCGATCAATGTCTCTTCCTCTCTGAGGTATTGATCTGAGTAGATCCTTGTAATAATTTTCTGAGTTATAATTACAAGGTCAAATCACATGGTTCTTGCCATAAAATAGCTTTGAGTTTTATCTGTTGTTGCAACCTTGTCGGAACCAAGAGAAGCTGCATCACCGTCTATTCTCTGGCTGCAAGAATTGGTAAATGGTAGTCCTGAACCCAGGATACCACATTTCAAGTCACAAGAAATTTCATTCTGATATGCTTTTAACCATGTGTTGCATAAAAGTCTAGTTTATCGGTTTAATATAATTTTCAAAATGTGAGTAATGTTTATGCATCTTTGTGGTAATGGTGGCTTTATTGGGGCGTTATAACATATCTCTGAGAGCTGCTTTGTTTTCTTGTCATTGATGTGTTTCTGTATTCATATCAATGGACATATTGGTATTTCACATTCATGATCATCTTTAATCCTACTGCTATACACGTTTAGGGAAAAATTATCTACTACTTGTTGAATCTGATTCGAGGCTGTGGTGAAGATGACAATTATTGTTTGTAATTTTTGTTACCTAGAACTTTTTATTTTAGATTCTTTTCTTAATGAGAGGATGTTAAAGCTAAAATTAGGCTTATTCACGCGTTTTGAGATCTTTGGGTTGATGAAAGAACCAACTGCAAGCTTGGAACAATTATTAGATTGTTTATTAGGCTACAGTCACCAGACCAATTTTCTCCTACAACAGTCGCCATCTCCATCTTTGCTGCACTATGATTGTATGCTCTTAGTAAACATTTATTTGAGGATTCAACATAATAGTTCATGATTCTGGAAAATGGAATTGAGAAAGAGTGACAGAGAAGGGGGGGTTGCACTTGGTGAGGCATCTGCTGTTACAATGTGACCATGTGGTGTTATATTAATGATGAGTTGTAAGAAGGGGTTCCATTAATGCAAGAAAACTCATCATTGATGTACCCCTTTCATTGATTTGAGTAATTTCATGCGATTTTGGAATTTTCAATCAGCTTATCAATAGCTTTTATGTTTGTATATCTTCTATATGAAGTATTTTGTGTTTCTTGAACTTTTTCTGATACTAATTAATTTTAGTTTCTGGATCATAAAGTTTCTAACACTGGGTGGTCTTTAGCAGCAACTTCTCAATATGATAGCGATGAATACTATTGTAATTGCAAAAAACAAAAACGGTTGCTGCGTGCTACAATTATGTGTGGGGCAGTCTCAGGGAGAAAATAGAGAACTTCTAGTGGCTGAGATAATAGCAAACGCAAAGCATCTAGCCGAAGATTGTTATGGGTTTGTTATTGTAAAACCTTATCTATGCCTTTATACGAGCTCAATTGCAATAGAATATTGACTTCTGTTTTTATTTTTCTTTACATCTAGCAACTATGTGGTGCAACATCTGCTGGGGCTGAGGATTCCAGGAGTCACAGCAGCTCTTCTGAGACAGCTTGAAGGGAGTTATGTGCACCTCTCCTGCAATAAATATGCTAGTAATGTTGTGGAGAAATGTTTGACTGAATCAACCGAAGAGCATTCCACACGGATTATCATGGAGTTGCTTCAATGTCCGAAACCTTCCATGCTTCTACTGGATCCTTTTGGGAACTATGTCATTCAGTCAGCCTTATCAAGTTCTAAGGTGAACTCATGCACCTAATCCAGCTATACTTTGTTGCACCTTTGTCAAATATAAGAAATAGGTTTTTATGTGGAGTGAGCAAGACTGACTTGAATTTGTTAAACAGTCCAGGCTACGATTGTCTCTTGGACTAACGGAACTTATAATTTGGATTAGGGGGCAGGTTGTGCCCGGTTTGGGTAATTCCAAATTTCCCAAAATCAACCTGGTAGTGGGACGTCGAACCAGTACCAGCTATACCTAATATAAGAAGGGACATTTTGACAAATAAGAAAATACAAATGACTTCTTTCTTTATATCTTTAAAAGGAATCACTTCCTTGCTGAAAAGACAGTCTAAATATCATCCGGAACAGATGTCTGCCTGGTCTTTAGCAAGCCTGTCAAAATATGTATCGTAGTGCAGTTTTCTTAAAATAGTGTATCGTGTATTGTAAGTTTGTAACATATCATAGCTCTAATATATATAGACTGTTCCCANCAAGAAAACTCATCATTGATGTACCCCTTTCATTGATTTGAGTAATTTCATGCGATTTTGGAATTTTCAATCAGCTTATCAATAGCTTTTATGTTTGTATATCTTCTATATGAAGTATTTTGTGTTTCTTGAACTTTTTCTGATACTAATTAATTTTAGTTTCTGGATCATAAAGTTTCTAACACTGGGTGGTCTTTAGCAGCAACTTCTCAATATGATAGCGATGAATACTATTGTAATTGCAAAAAACAAAAACGGTTGCTGCGTGCTACAATTATGTGTGGGGCAGTCTCAGGGAGAAAATAGAGAACTTCTAGTGGCTGAGATAATAGCAAACGCAAAGCATCTAGCCGAAGATTGTTATGGGTTTGTTATTGTAAAACCTTATCTATGCCTTTATACGAGCTCAATTGCAATAGAATATTGACTTCTGTTTTTATTTTTCTTTACATCTAGCAACTATGTGGTGCAACATCTGCTGGGGCTGAGGATTCCAGGAGTCACAGCAGCTCTTCTGAGACAGCTTGAAGGGAGTTATGTGCACCTCTCCTGCAATAAATATGCTAGTAATGTTGTGGAGAAATGTTTGACTGAATCAACCGAAGAGCATTCCACACGGATTATCATGGAGTTGCTTCAATGTCCGAAACCTTCCATGCTTCTACTGGATCCTTTTGGGAACTATGTCATTCAGTCAGCCTTATCAAGTTCTAAGGTGAACTCATGCACCTAATCCAGCTATACTTTGTTGCACCTTTGTCAAATATAAGAAATAGGTTTTTATGTGGAGTGAGCAAGACTGACTTGAATTTGTTAAACAGTCCAGGCTACGATTGTCTCTTGGACTAACGGAACTTATAATTTGGATTAGGGGGCAGGTTGTGCCCGGTTTGGGTAATTCCAAATTTCCCAAAATCAACCTGGTAGTGGGACGTCGAACCAGTACCAGCTATACCTAATATAAGAAGGGACATTTTGACAAATAAGAAAATACAAATGACTTCTTTCTTTATATCTTTAAAAGGAATCACTTCCTTGCTGAAAAGACAGTCTAAATATCATCCGGAACAGATGTCTGCCTGGTCTTTAGCAAGCCTGTCAAAATATGTATCGTAGTGCAGTTTTCTTAAAATAGTGTATCGTGTATTGTAAGTTTGTAACATATCATAGCTCTAATATATATAGACTGTTCCCAAATGATATAACTGCTATTTCAACTTAAATTGCATACAAGATTAAAAAAAAAAAAACTCTTAGCAATTCAAGTTCACATGGTAATTCATCAATTTCAAACTTTAAAGATTAGCAAAATCTAAAGCAAATTCATTCTTGGAGTTCTATGAATCACATTTTCATCTTGATCTTCAGTTTCAATGGCATCACCAACAAGTCTTTACCACCTCTATCTTTTTCAGCCTTTGTTAGTTTAATGTACTGACCTGCAATTTTTATAATATAATTTTTTTAAAAAAGAATAGACCCATTGCTGCAGTATATTTGATTATTGCTAAACTCTTTCGGCTGTTTGACCATAGGAAGTGTGGCTTAAACTTATAACATGTAATTTTATGACTTTTTTGTCGATTTTGCAAGTGCAGGGACCCGTCCACGATGCTCTTGTTAATTTAGTTCGTATGAATGCTCACTCCATGCAAACCAATCTTTATGGGAAGAAGGTCCTTGCTTGGTTTGACAAGAACAAGTGGCAACCTGTATAGATATGTACAAGTAAGAGGTGTTCCAGGTTCAATCATATGCACTTTTGTTCTCATTGTTCTATTGCCTCTTCAATATAGTTTAGGCTTTAGCAGGTTGTGTTTATAACTTTCATCTCTAATGCGTCAGCGTAGTGTAGTTTTGGGTGTTTGTAGTTTTTTGTTGTTTTACAGTATTCAGAGGGATAGAAAGTGTTTTATTAGAAGAAAGGAAATCAGAAGGCGTCAAATATTTTGTAGCTGCATGGAAAGTAATAGCACAGATTGTGTAGGCCTTTTAAAGGGATGGATGACAAAGTAAGTGTTATTAAACTGTATATTCTGAGTTCTTCCAAATGTTGGTTGTTAGGATGTGAAAGATCCAGGTCAAAAAAGGGATTGTAAGATTTTATTCTTTTGACTATGAATAAGCAGTGAATACCTGTTTAATTTTCACCATGTTAGATTTAATCCATTATCATAAATATCATTTCAGAAAAGTTGCATTGTTTACATAAAGTTCCATGGTTTTATTATATTTTGTTCGCAATAGATTGATATGGTCCCCTTTTACCATTATTTGTGTATTGGCTTGAGCAAAGCAGAAGGATGTGATTCGTTTATTTTTCACTTTTATCGACTTTTTTTGAAGTGGCTTTTGAATGAAATTTCTGGTTTCTATATATGGCTGAATTTATTTCTTTTCCCGGGAATTATAAATTGGCGAAACCTTCAGCATTCAACATTTTTGTTAGGTAACCAATTGTTTTTCAATTGGGAAGTTGTAATCCAGACAGCCTTTTCCTTTCTTGAGCAAAGGCCGGGGAAAACATGAACCTCCATTTCCTACACACTTGCCCCCGAAATTCCCTAAAGTTGTGTTCCATTTCACGGACTTCCTTTAGATCATTGTTTCTGGCTTTATGCAATTCCTGCCTAGAGTTCAGCCTTTTGCCGACTATGATTAGGATTAGGTTTGTGGTTTAGAAATTGGAGAACATATTTGGTGTTTGATCAAGCACTGCATGACAATATCTTTTGAGGTACATCACTCTCATAAAATATTGTGTATTAGGTTTGTGGTTTAGAGATTGGAGAACATATTTATGTTTCGTTTGGTAGGAATGATGAAAAGTAAGAGAGATAGAAAATAAGAAGAGTACATTTTCTATCTTTTAAAGAAATAAAATAAGAATTATATATATTATATTTGATATGATGGATGGAATAATAAAAATGATTAATTTTTTTTTTTTGTGTTTGGTAAGATGGAAAAAATATTTTTCTATTTTTTTATTTTTTAAAAAAATATAAGTACATATTTTGTCAGTATATGAAATTAATGTATACATAATATATGTATATATCAAAGTATATATCTATATAATAAAACAGTTAGGTGTTTGAAATTTGATCTCATAGATATTTTCTCTCCCAAAATCATTCCATCACTCATTTGTATTTTATGTTTAATTATTTAATCTAATATTTGATTAATTTATAGTTTAACATAATTTTTATTTCAGACATTATTTATAAATGATAGTATATACATATTATAAATATTTGTCGAATTTCGTATTTTTGTCTATATTTTTTAAAAAATAATGGGTAAAAAATGACGTAATCAAATAAATGAAGGAAAGAAAAATTATTATTTAATATAATGAGATTAATTTTTTGAACACTTGAATTTTGTATTTCATCATGTCTGGCACGGGTTATCACTAGTAAACAAATAAGATATATTTCAACACAAATAATTAATTTTTCATACACTTTTTTTTCAATTTTAGAGAGATTGATTTTAGTGAATTAAAAAAAAAAATTCATTCATCTATTTTTCTATTATTCCTATTTTCTTTCTTTACCGATATGTATTCCTCCAATTTTTCAAAGCATAATTTCTTTACCAAAATTCTCTCGAGTTTGTCAAAGCATAATTTAGCCAGAGAGATTGGGGGTGAGGCTTGCTTCTGACGATTGAAAACCCAACAGGTTTGTTTTTATTTTGTATACAACCATGGTCCATGCCTCTCCTGTAGCATATTTTTTAGAATAAGTGGGTGGGGTCTACCAAGTAACTTTAAGATTTTAGATTTTACACGAATTTGCCTATTTTGTGGGAGTCATTAAATGATTTAGATTTTTTTATTACATTTTTATTCTATTTAATTTAATCTAAATAAATAATAATGACTCACACTTAAATTCAAGATAAATAAATCTATCATTGAAAAATTGAATAAAAATATAATAAAACAGACTTTTAGCAAAGCCAATTAGATACAAGAATAACCCACTACGGCTAGGCCACTTGCACACTGATATAGCTAACCATTGCAAATGAGTAATTACAAAAGAGTAAGTCTGTAAGATATGAATGAGAGAGATAGTCATAGATATAGGCGATTGATAAAAAAATAAAAAATTATAAATGATTACTGAGAGTTAAAATATTAAACTCCTATTCTCCCTTAATTAGTAATTAAATAGTGCAGAGATACTAGTATTCATTTGGCATGGGGACCGCCAGATAAATAAAGCATCTTGAAACATCGTACACCTTGAATGTGACTATGCCTGCCAGACATCGTACACTTTGCACTTTGCGGTTGGTAGATTTTGCTTTATTATGGAATGACAGCTTTCATCCACTCTTTTTTCATGGTAATTAAGATAAGACTAGCCCTCTATTACCCACAAAAAATAAAATAGCTCCTACCCTATTTTTTTCTACATGAAAATCGATCTTAATATGGGATAACAACAAACATTATCAATTCAACTACAATAATATAATGAATTGAAGCGAATCATTATATTTGAAAACACAATTGATTGTTCGAACTTATCTTACCATAACTCCTACTTTAATAGTCTTAAGTGGCTGAAAATGTTACCATTTTTCATATGTCGGAAAAATATATGTAATAAAATAGTTTATAATTTAAATTTTAAAAAATAAATAAAATAATTTTTATTTTTTACAGTTCATATCACTTTAAATTTTATTTTAAAATTTATCTGACGGTTAATATTAACACTCTCAATTTAATAGGAAAAAAGATCTCTAAAGGTGTGTTTAGAGTGATTTTGTAAAAGTATTTCTATGAATTATTTTCTTATAAGTACTTTTAAAAAAAATAATGTTTGAAACCGTTTCACCGCTACCTCTACCGCCACCACCATCGCTGCCATCGTCACCACCACCACCAACATTGCCATCGTCACCACCGCCACCATCGCCGCCACTATCACTGTCACTGCCACTGTTGTCGTCGTTGTCGCCACCACCTCCGCCATCGCCACTATCACTGCCACCGCTACCACCACCACCACGGTCATTGTCACCCACCACAACCATTACCGTCACTTATCACCACTACTGCCGCCCACCACTTCTCACCCTCACTACAATCAATTCTTAAATTCATTTATTTCTCGTCTCTATTTGTGATTTGATTTTGAATATGAATATAATATATGTTTATTGTTTACCATTTTTTATTATTTTGTGTCTTCAGGCACAGGTAATAATTAATTCTTTTATAAGGGTCTGATTGTGTGTTTGTAAAAACTTCAAAAATAACTCCAATGATAATCTAAGTAAAAATAAAAATGAACTGTAAGACGTCTTTATTTTCAATCTTGGTATTTCTTTGAAATCAAGTCATGAAAAATATTTATTTTTCGTGAATGTCCTAATCTAATCCTAATGTGAATGTCTTGTTTTTGACCAGATTAGAGAAATAATTAATCAAGGTGCGTATAAACTGATTCAGATATTTTCAACCATTACAAAAAAAAAAATCCTCAAATGTTAAAAAAAAGGCTGCTTCTTCTTTAGTTTCCACTTCATCTAGTAAATGATTATATTATTAGGAAGTTCAAACCGATAGCTAGTACAATATATGATTCCTCACCAGATTTGAAAGAGAGCCATGGGCACCATCAGACAATGTCTACAACAGGAGCATCACACGAACATATAAAGCTTATAAAGAGAGCCAAAACATCCCTTCTATTATTCCCTTGCTAATCAGCACCCATAAATACGCCAATCTTCCTAGTTATGTAATATTAATCTATGAATCACCACATAAATAGATTATGTTCATGTAGATATAGATATAATTTAAGGGGTCCATGACTCTGCTGTTCGTATTGATATTAGGCTCAGAAACTCTCAAGGGCACTTGGGCTTGCCCTTGGAGGTCTTCTTGTCCCTATAGCAAGGGCACTCGTTCTTGTTCCCGTAAGTCCCAGAAGGCACGCAATTGCACTCTTCACAGCAAATCCCACAGTACTTCAAGCACCTGTCCTGCAGCCCCGCCTTTGAACACCTCACCCCACACTTGGAGTCACAGAAACCTACTCAAACACATACAGATCATCTCCCAAATCAGCACAAAACCCATAGATTCGTCTCATTGTTAGGTATATGTGTGTGTGTGTGTGTGTGAGTGAGTGTGTGACAAACCCATGAAAAAAAAGGGGATGACAAAGAAATTGAGAAAGATATTAGGGTCCTACTTGAACCAGCCATTGTAGTCTGAATGAAAGAGGAGCTGAGGACAAGAGACACAAACAGGAGAGTTGCAAAGACAAGCTTCATTTTTCTCACTCCTGATCTTCTTTTACTTGCGACAATCCTAAAGGATTCAAGCAAGAAATGGACTAAAGTGGTTGATCAAAGAGGGGCTATATGTGTTGGATTAGACTGAAGCAATGAATGGAAGAGCATTATAGAGTGGTATTTATAGTGAGGAAAAGGTAGGTGGAGAAGGAAGGAAGCGTTTCTAACAAAATAAATTACAGTGGACTACAGACTGTCAGGTGCTTTTGCTTTTGAGGTGGCGAGACATACGTGAATATGAACTAATGTGTTTTAGAGTCACAAGGCCGTCCAAATAAAAGCCACGAAGGACAAATCAAATTGCACAAACTGTTATGTTCGTTTATATGGCATTTGGTGATTAGTCCTTCCTATTTTCTAGTCCTAATGTCCTGTCCTCTACACAGTCAGGTGTATTATCAAGTTGGTTAGCTTTAACATACGCGGTTACGCGAAGATTAAAGCCTTCTTGTCTACATTGCTGCCATGATTTCAAGCCAAGTCTCCTACATTCGAAGAAAATATTCTAATATCATGTTAACATTGATAATATAGTATCATCAACCAATAATAAAACTCTAAATAGACAAAGTGACTCTCATTTGAATAGTTAATAACTTATATGGAAAAAAAAATGAGTAATTATCTACTTATATGAACGGATAGATATTGACTTGTATAGGTTCCACTATCTTATTTGTTTGCATATTATCAGTTACCGTTACAATGAATATTTTTTCAGAGTCGAACCCAAGAATGGGCAAGTATCATCAATGGATAAGATCTTAATGATACTTACCAGCTAAAATTATGGTAAATTCACATAATTACTTTTTGTGGATAATTTTACGAGACGTAAACTTACACTTCTAGAATTCAAGTGATCTGATTGTCTAAAATTTGATTTAATAGATGAGTGTGTTTGATGAGTGATTATATAATCTTCGAATTTGTATGGAAACTATATCGCTCAAATGAATGAAAAAAAAGATGATAATTTTTTTTTTATAAGTAAGAAAAAGATGAGATTGATTGGGATGAACTAGAATCTAGCTAGGAAGGACATTAGTTGGAAAAGGTCCTAATTGTCATAGACTCGTAGCTCTTTTGATCTTGTTGGAGATATGTTGTTAGGCCATGATGCAAACATAATCTCCTTTCATGGTCTCTAGCCCATGCAAGCGCTAGTGATCTTTCCCAAAACTTCATTAGAAACAGCGTAGGCAAAGTGGACGAATTCAATTCACCTCTGGAGTTGGTGTTGCATCTCTTTCCTATGTATTGTGAAATCTGCATAGCTGTAGAGCATTCTGGAATATTAAGAGAGAGAGAGAGGGGTCACAGTAGAGTAAATTCCTCATTCTGGTACGTCGTTGGATACATGAATGAATGGTGGCTACCAAAAGAGAAAGATGGACCCAATCGTTTGGCATTTAATGCGTGCCCCTTTCTCTTTCTTTATAAAATGAACGAACTCAACCGCGGGTTGACGCACCTTACTCGCACTTTGAATAGACAAAAAAAATAAATAAATAACCCTAGTATAATTCAAATAGTAACAGAGATGAGTTGAAAAATTCAGATATTTTGAATTTGAATTTTGGTAATTTTTTTAGGTCAGACCATGAAGAATTTATCTTTCATGAATATTCTAGTGTCGACGTGGATGACTTACCTTTGACCAAATCAAAAAAAAAAATTAATTAAGGTACACGTATGATGATCCAACACTATTGACCGTTCAATCAAAAAACAAAAGAAAAAAAAATGGTAAATTGAGAATTCTCCTAACTATTTAATTATGATATAAACACGAGCCAAACAATTGTCATTAATCACGACCCTAAAGTTAACTACGACGTTTTTTTTTTTTTTGCAAGATTTGAATTTCAAATTTTAGAATTCTAACTGCTCAAACGATGTATTTCTATCAACTAATCTTTTGATTTTCGAGAGGAGTGTGTGCGTTTTACATATTATTCAAGTAAGTGTCAATCTATTATGAGTTGAATGTCGAGATCTTTTACACCATACACAATTTTACCGAGGCCGTCCCCAACCGTATAAATAGATGATTCACCAAAATAAGTTTTGTTATGTCGATAGCAGACACTTTTTATGGTTACAATGGAGCATCGCTGAACAGGACCACAAAAGTAAGAGTAAGAATGTGCATGGAATTTGATCTATCACAGCACTAAGATCGAGTTGGTGGAACAGACTATTTAAGGTATCAGAACTCACTGCACTACTAAATTTTCCAAAGTTTTATCAATTCTAAATCATCCGTTGTGTATTAGTTGGACACATTGTGGGGTTTTTTTTTCAGTCAGACACTATTATATGGACAAAAATGACGAGGTTCGATTCTAAAACTTTAAGATCCAACAACAGAGACAGTGGTCATTAGGTCAACCGCTAACTGTATTTGTTGGTTGTTATAGCTTAAAATTTGCTCATCAGTGCTAGTAACCATCTTCCTACGACAAATATTTAAAAGAAATATTATGTCAACAATACAAATATTAAAAAAATGCATTACTATATGTGCTGTGTATTTTAGTACAATAGAATAATTATACTATGTACTAGGGTTTTTTTTTTTTTTAAAAAGGCATTGTGGGCCTTGAGACTATGAATTGGGCCCGCACCAAGGCACTTGCCCAAGGGCTCAACTTTGACAAAGGAATGTTAGCCCGAATGTCAGCCCATTCTAGCCCTGACCTGGTCTGTGGCTCAGCTAATTCAGCAAAGTCTGACCAAGTTTGGCACGGCCATTACCAAGTCTCATCGACAAGTTACATTTAACAATTCGTATGGTCTTTGGCTACTCGGAACCCTCTGCAATGAGCTATTTCACTCTACGACTGGGGTATACTTTAATCGTGAGATACAACCATTTTTGGCTAACCTTTTTTTTTGGCTAACATTTCAACACCGCCACAACCTGTCTTGTTTTTTATTAATAGGAGAGAATATCCTGCCCGGTTAGGCTCGATCGGAGCATGCTTTGATGGTAGAACCCGTCAAAAATTACGGGGTCATTTGGAAACGTTTTTATTTTCGCGTCTTCAAAACAATAAAAAAAAAAAGATATTTTTTGTCTTTATTTTGTAATAAACACTGAAACAGAAAACATATTTGAGTGTCATTTTTGTCTATCAAATTATGAGAATAAAAAACAAAAAACATATTTGGTAACGTTTTATCCTAAATATGTTTTATAATATCTTATACAACAAAATACAAATTCAATAATTTCTTAAACTAAAACATCTACTATTTAATCAAAAAACACTTAAAGAAAGATAATTAGATTACATAAGTCATTAATCACATTCATACATCATATTAATGATAACCATCATATTTGTGGTTCTATTATGCCAGCCTACATAGGATGGTGTGTGACATGTGTTGATAATGGAATGTAGGCTGGCACTCCCAATGGGTAGAAGAATGAGAGAGAATAAAATAAAGAGGTATTCTACATGGAAACAATAGAGATAAGCCAAAGTGCTCCTAATGTAGGCAAATAGAGAATTATTTCATCCCTAGTTAACCAACCTTGATGTCACAAAATGTATAACAGAGATCACAAAGTGTGTAGTCATTTAACAATTGCCTATTATGATTCTTCAATCTTAGCTCTTTAGCTATGCTACACAATAAAATAGAACAACACCACAACTCAACATGTAACTACTTGGATGGGTCTAGGCTCTTTGGCTCCAACTATCCGATTTGGCTGACGGGTCTAGGAGGAGAAACTGGGTCAGAAGGAAGAGTTTTGCTCCCCTCAATTGCAAGAGCTCCATCTGTTGCTGTGCCAGATGAAAGCTCCATCTTTACTTCCAAACTCTGAGTTCCCGTCATCAATTTTGGCATCCATAATTGCAGCCTCTTTAGCTTCGGAGTTTATGAGGATAGATTTCTCATGACTTTCAGCTTCCCCTATAGCACCATTTGAACTCCCACCTCCTGATGGCAATTTTAGCAAAGCTACACAAAAAGGAAAAAAATAGGGTCCCGAATGAAAAGCATTTGATAAATTGCACGCCACATAGCGTCAGTTGCCGAGAGCAATAGAAGCACAAGGACACACAAGCTAGAGAAATTTAGAAGAATTGAATAAGTTCACTCATACTAATTTACTATTTAAAAAGGTCTCTTTGCAATTGAATACTAGTTTTCTCGCAATCACTAATTCTCCGTTTGGTACGATAAAAAAATAAAATGATGAAAAATTAGAAGGATAAATAAAATATCATGTTTGGTTAGGAAGGATGAAAAAGTGGATAGATTAACTTTCCTTTCAACTCACAAAAATCAATCCCTCCAAAATCGGAAGGAAATTGGATAGANTTTTATTTTCGCGTCTTCAAAACAATAAAAAAAAAAAGATATTTTTTGTCTTTATTTTGTAATAAACACTGAAACAGAAAACATATTTGAGTGTCATTTTTGTCTATCAAATTATGAGAATAAAAAACAAAAAACATATTTGGTAACGTTTTATCCTAAATATGTTTTATAATATCTTATACAACAAAATACAAATTCAATAATTTCTTAAACTAAAACATCTACTATTTAATCAAAAAACACTTAAAGAAAGATAATTAGATTACATAAGTCATTAATCACATTCATACATCATATTAATGATAACCATCATATTTGTGGTTCTATTATGCCAGCCTACATAGGATGGTGTGTGACATGTGTTGATAATGGAATGTAGGCTGGCACTCCCAATGGGTAGAAGAATGAGAGAGAATAAAATAAAGAGGTATTCTACATGGAAACAATAGAGATAAGCCAAAGTGCTCCTAATGTAGGCAAATAGAGAATTATTTCATCCCTAGTTAACCAACCTTGATGTCACAAAATGTATAACAGAGATCACAAAGTGTGTAGTCATTTAACAATTGCCTATTATGATTCTTCAATCTTAGCTCTTTAGCTATGCTACACAATAAAATAGAACAACACCACAACTCAACATGTAACTACTTGGATGGGTCTAGGCTCTTTGGCTCCAACTATCCGATTTGGCTGACGGGTCTAGGAGGAGAAACTGGGTCAGAAGGAAGAGTTTTGCTCCCCTCAATTGCAAGAGCTCCATCTGTTGCTGTGCCAGATGAAAGCTCCATCTTTACTTCCAAACTCTGAGTTCCCGTCATCAATTTTGGCATCCATAATTGCAGCCTCTTTAGCTTCGGAGTTTATGAGGATAGATTTCTCATGACTTTCAGCTTCCCCTATAGCACCATTTGAACTCCCACCTCCTGATGGCAATTTTAGCAAAGCTACACAAAAAGGAAAAAAATAGGGTCCCGAATGAAAAGCATTTGATAAATTGCACGCCACATAGCGTCAGTTGCCGAGAGCAATAGAAGCACAAGGACACACAAGCTAGAGAAATTTAGAAGAATTGAATAAGTTCACTCATACTAATTTACTATTTAAAAAGGTCTCTTTGCAATTGAATACTAGTTTTCTCGCAATCACTAATTCTCCGTTTGGTACGATAAAAAAATAAAATGATGAAAAATTAGAAGGATAAATAAAATATCATGTTTGGTTAGGAAGGATGAAAAAGTGGATAGATTAACTTTCCTTTCAACTCACAAAAATCAATCCCTCCAAAATCGGAAGGAAATTGGATAGAAAGTTAATTATTTGTGTTAAGATGTATCTTATTTGTCTATATATTATGTATACATTAATTTCATATAAAAATATAATGATTATATATATATATATATATATATATATATTAAAAAATTTTAAAAATAAAATAATAAAATAAATTTTTTAAATTAAAAAAAAATATTTTTTTTATCTTAACTAGGGATGAAATTTTCGATTCAACCCGACGACACGACTCAAACTCAACATAAATTTTAAGACACAAACTTGAAAATGACCTAACACGAGAACAAGAAATATAAAAAGTTCATAATTTTATAACTCAACCCGAATTTGACATGACGCAACTCGATTATCATCTCTAATCTTAGCCATCACAAAAAAAAATAGTCATTTTTATTTTTTATCCATCCAATCAAACACAAGTAAAAAAAAATGTATATCTTCCACTTTTCATCCTCCCTACCAAACGGAGCATAAGGGACTAGCCTTGGAAATGACATATAAGCAAACAGACAACAGATCAAAGTCAATCCATTTAAGGCATCACGTCACTCTACAGCTCACACTCACACTCACACTCACAAAACATACACACATACACGCAGAACACACACAGACACAGAATACACTCACAGAAGCAAAACACACACGGACCACAAAATAAAGACATACAAATATACAAATTTATGTATATTGTGGTGAAAAAAATACAGATAAAACAAAAAAAAAATCGATTAAGGTCTGTGATGTACAAATCTATGTAGATTTATGCATATATATACAGATCTATTTATATATATACCTATATCTATACAAGTAAAGGGATTACCCTTACCTTCACACTGAAAAGAAGCTTCTTCTTCGCCGATCTGTGAGTGGAAGCCCCTTTTTCATTGAGAGAGAGAGGAGAAGACAAAGTCGTTGAGAGTTCCGGAGAAGAGAGAGTTGCAAAGAAAGAGAAAATAAGAGAAGAAAAGGGTTGTTCGAGTGTGTTATGTGAGGACGAAAATGAGAAAGACCCATATTTATAGTTCTGCACATGAAATTATATTTAAGGCTAACAAGACTCGAAGTTGAGATCTCATTTAAACCCAACACCCGTGTTTTGTGTTTCTCATGTTTTCTGAAACACATTTTTTTTGTTCTCATTTTTTTGTCTTTATATCCAAAGCAACTAATATAAAACAAAAACAAAAACAGTACTCAAATATATTTTTGTTTTCATTTTTGACAAAAATTGAAAACAAAAACACAAAATATAAGACAAAAACAAGTACCAAACAACCTCGATGAATTGCCCATTTCTAAGTCGTTTCGGAAGATTTAATGTAAAGCAAACAACATTGATTCAGATTGCTGCCTAAAAGGAATCTATGTTCCAGCAATTTTCTGCATATTATTTTTATCTTTTCTTTCTTTTAATTCTTTCCGATATTAAGTGTCGCTCAGACCATTTTCAATAAAGATCCAAATCCTTACCAAAATTTAAATAAAAATAATAATAAATAATTTAATTTGGTATAAATCTCTCAAATGGTAAAATTCAAATTTAAAGAAAGAGAAACTCTTTTTTAAATAAGGATAACCCCCAATTTAAAAGAGGATAAATATGATTATTGGATCTTTAAAGGAGGGTGTAATCTTACCATTAGTGAAAATGGTAAATACTTGAATCTCCTTTGATTTGAGTTTAAAAAATGATTTTCCTTCATTTGATTTGGGTGTTGGTTTAACGTTGGAGAAAATTTTTAAGAGTTTTTATTTTTTTTTAAAAAAAGGGTACAAAAAATGGTAAAAGTTAGAGAGCATATCCAATCATGACTTAAATTTAGACTCAAATTTGAATAAAAAACTTGATTTTGTATAGAGTACTCTAATAGGTAAACTCAAGTATCTATTCAAATCTTTTTAAAAATTCTTTTATTATCTCAAAACTAATTTTTTTGTATCATTCAAATCATGAAATCTAATAAAATAAATGAATTTTTCATATCTCTCCATAATTGGGTAATTTAAAAAAAATAGGGTTAATTGCACTAGAGATCCTCAAAGTATGGAGTTTGTCTCATTTTGGTTCCCAATGTTTCAATTGCATCATTTTGGTCCCTGAAATATTGAATATGTTTCTATATGGTTTTTCAAGCAGACAGTGTCCAAATTGTTAATGATTTTTTTATCATAAACTTGTCACATGATACTTAAATATAGACAAAAAAAAAATTTAGATAACTTTTAACCAAAATGAGACAAATTTCATACTTTGATAACTTTTAGTGCAATTAACCTAAAAAAATAAATATCAAACACCACCTAGGAATAAGAAAAATATAAATAATAAAATAAAACCACCCTATAATTCTCAGGTTGTTTTAATCCATTATCTTGTTCTATAAATTCAAATAAAAAAATATTCACTTTGATAATTGAAGAAATAAAATGACAAATTTTTTTAATTTATAGATAGTGAAGGCTTGAAATTTTAGGAAGAATTGGAGAACTATAATTGTACTACCGATAATATTTAACTCTACAAAAATAAAAAATAAAATTGATGGGTAGGTTTAGGGTTTATATAGATGAAAAACATATGAGATTAGAGTTTTGAAAAATATAAGAAATCAAGAAGATGGAAGATGAAAAGAAAGAAACTTACTTACAGGTTTTTAAAGGATCTATGAATGCTTCGGTTGCGATCAACGATGCAAACAACGAAGAAGAAAGAAGGAAGAAAAGACAAAGAATAAGTTATCGAATAAGTCTTTTAACTTTAGATAAGATAAAAAATTACTATAGAAAATTTGATATAGAATTTGAGTTTTCTTTAATTTTGGTTCAGAATAAGTTTTTTGTTGATTTGGTATAAATTTAAGTCCAAGGTTGGAGAATATTTTTAAACCATTTAAACTCATTTAAATTTGAGTGATAGTTGGAGATACTGTTAGGAGACCTATTACGGTAAATGAAAATGAAATTTTTTTCAAGCTATTGATAGAGAGTGCTTTTGACACACTCTTGTCTTGAAGTTTCTATGTTGCTTTTTTTTTAACGATCAGAGTGTCGGGTCAATTTATACGTACTTTGACTACGTTTTTAATCTAATCAAAAGTAATCCGTCCATGCAAAGACTAGAGTATTAATGAAGCATAAATCTTTTATGGTCTAATCTCAAAAAATTGTTAAAATTTAAATTCAAGACGTCTGAATTTATAGTTCATATTTGTTACCACTTGAACAACCTAATAACTTTTTTGGTACGGTGTTTTATTTTTCATCGGTTAGAAGAGGCAACCTCCAATTTTTTTTGTATTTTATTATTTTTTAGATCAATGATTATAAATAAATTAACACAAAATTAATGATCCATGACAAATTTTGGTATGCCATCACTTTGATACTATAATGCTCTCCAAACTTATAATTTAATCTTAAAAATTATAAATTTTGGTACAACGTAATTTTCCCCTACCTATCAAGAAAGGAAACACAAACTTCAACTTCTTATCACTGGTGAAATTAGCTTGCCACAACCCTAATGATGGTTTAGTGGGGATAGACATAAACGGTAAATTTAAATATTTTAAATTTTAAATTTAATAATTTTTTTAGGGTAAGATTATGAAAAATTTATCTCTAAAAATTTCTTAGCCTCAACATGAAAATTTATTTTTAATCAAATCGAAAAACAAAAATCCAAATATGCTTGAATTGTCGTGATACCTCTTAATTCCATTTCCTAAAAAACAAAAAATGGAAGGCAGCTTGCCATTCTCCTCCGCCATTTGCGGCTGAAAGTCCAAACCCAACCCCACCACTCTTTGACCCATCTTTTTAGCCCCACTACCATTTAAATATCATCAAGGTATAGTCAAATAATATTATTGAAATCTAAAAATTTAAATATTTTGTAGATATAATTATATAATTTCATTGTTATCATTGAATTAATATCAAATTTTAATATTTGATGAGATTCAAAATTAATATAAGAATTATAGTAAATTAAGTCTACAAATTATATCAATAAATCAAGCTCAATAGCATTACTCATCAAATTATCACCCCCATAATCTAACAAAAACTTAATGAAAAATATACAACTAGGGTTAATAGTCGAATGAGCTTGAGTCGAGCCTAATTGTTTTTTTCTTAATTGAGTTTAACAAGTTGTTCAAGTTCGATTCGTTTAGAAAACAAGTCGAGTCTGAATAAGCCCAAAACGAACCGAATCAGAATATTTACACATAAATAAGTTGATTTTATTAAATTCGAACCGAGTCTGTTGGACTCATTTTTTAAATGAATCTAAAAAATTATTCAAATTGGAGTTCATTTTAAAATGAACCACACCTGAATGAGTCGACAAGATTAAATAATTCGGTTCAATAAACAGCCCTAAATGCACGAAGGACTCCAACATTCCTGTCTCTTCTTTTTGTTCTGTTGGATTTTTTTTGGGGGTCCAAAAACATTTTTTTCCAAATTTAATCAATCACGTATAAAATTTCAACTCTATATTCGATAAGATTTCTTATTCTGAAATGTTATTTTAGGGAGGGCAGTGCTATTAGAATATATTTTGAGAACCTGATAAATTCTTATTATTGAATTAATAACCGATCTTAATCTTAAAAGAAATTTATCGTCAAATCAACAATAAGTAAATTAGCAATGCATTAGGGTTCAACTATATAGTACCCCAAATGTATTTTTGCAATATTATACTTCCACTTTTTTATTTAATAAAAAATAAAAATATTATTTTATTATTTTTAATTTTGATTTTGATTTTGAGAACCGTAGAGTCTGTGTAAACGAATGGTTTTGTACGTTGGATTATGAGATGTTTTTGTCCATTTGGCATCGTATACTTCAGATGATGCCCTTTTTTTTTTTGAACCTTTGACTTTGACTTCTTTCTTAGCTCTTTAGCCTTTAGTAATTTGGCGGGATTTCCGCCATTTGTCCGCTAATTACTCCCTTAGTCAGTTTGTATTAATAATATATATTTTATTTATATTTAATTTATTTATTAATTTATATCTAACAAATTATATTATATTAAATTCACATATATATATATATGATTAATATATAAATAAATTATTTCATATTTTTTTAATTTAAATTCATTAATATTTAATTCTTTTATTAATGGTGTAAAGTTCAAGCGATTTAAGTAAAATTTAAACACTCTAATTTTATACTTAGATTCGTGTTTATTTTGACACATTTAATTAGTAAAGAACGCGCAAAAACATAACTAGCAGTAACCACCCATCACTGTGCTACTGCTCTACAGCCCAGAGTAGGACTGTAGGAGTGTCTTTTTGTCTCATGACCTTCTTTCATGGAATATTATACCAGCAAGCATGTTGAATCATTACAAGGAAAATGCTAAAAGTCCCTCTTCACTGCTTTAGATTGTCTGAAACCAGGAGAAGACTGACACCATCAAAATACATGTTTTGCTTCTTCTAAACGGCATTCCATCACTTTGCTCTTTTGGTTTCCTTTTTCAGTGACCACCACCGACTGTGTTTGGCTTTGTTTTCTCTCTCTCTCTCCATATCTTTCTATTTTACTTCTTCTCAGTTTGAAGAGTTGAATACATTCTGAGTTTGATAGGTGGTGGTAGGAGTGCTATAAATATGGAGAGAAAACAAAGCTTTTTTTCGGCTTTGAAGCAAGAGGTGGTGAGGGGTTTGTCGCCGGGAAGGTCCAGGGGGAGGAGCCCATCTCTCGGTTCGGGACTGCTTCGGAGGAGGAAATCCGGGCACGTGGCGCAACCTGAGCCGTCGGTTTGGAGGTCCGGGAGTTTGAGGCCAGCGGCGGAGACTTTGACGCCGTTGAAGGAGGGTCCGGATCCGGATGGAACTGACGGCCGTGATTCGAAAATGGAGAGGTGGGGCCACTGGATGAAAGGCCAACTTATTCGGGCACCGTCAGAGTCGATCTACCAACGGTCCGATCTGAGGTTGCTGCTTGGTGTTCTGGGTGCGCCGTTGGCTCCGGTGCACGTTAGCACCAATGACCCTTTGCCTCATCTCAGTATCAAAAACACTCCCATTGTTAGTCTCTCTCTCTCTCTCTCTCTCTCTCTCTCCCTCCCCAGTTTAAATGATTTGCCCACTTTATTTTTCAATTTCTTTGCCTACAATTGTTGTATTTTTTAGATTTTTATATAAATCAGTTGAAATTGAAGGTGGGTAGTATTTTATTCGATGGACTGTGTGGNATATATATATATGATTAATATATAAATAAATTATTTCATATTTTTTTAATTTAAATTCATTAATATTTAATTCTTTTATTAATGGTGTAAAGTTCAAGCGATTTAAGTAAAATTTAAACACTCTAATTTTATACTTAGATTCGTGTTTATTTTGACACATTTAATTAGTAAAGAACGCGCAAAAACATAACTAGCAGTAACCACCCATCACTGTGCTACTGCTCTACAGCCCAGAGTAGGACTGTAGGAGTGTCTTTTTGTCTCATGACCTTCTTTCATGGAATATTATACCAGCAAGCATGTTGAATCATTACAAGGAAAATGCTAAAAGTCCCTCTTCACTGCTTTAGATTGTCTGAAACCAGGAGAAGACTGACACCATCAAAATACATGTTTTGCTTCTTCTAAACGGCATTCCATCACTTTGCTCTTTTGGTTTCCTTTTTCAGTGACCACCACCGACTGTGTTTGGCTTTGTTTTCTCTCTCTCTCTCCATATCTTTCTATTTTACTTCTTCTCAGTTTGAAGAGTTGAATACATTCTGAGTTTGATAGGTGGTGGTAGGAGTGCTATAAATATGGAGAGAAAACAAAGCTTTTTTTCGGCTTTGAAGCAAGAGGTGGTGAGGGGTTTGTCGCCGGGAAGGTCCAGGGGGAGGAGCCCATCTCTCGGTTCGGGACTGCTTCGGAGGAGGAAATCCGGGCACGTGGCGCAACCTGAGCCGTCGGTTTGGAGGTCCGGGAGTTTGAGGCCAGCGGCGGAGACTTTGACGCCGTTGAAGGAGGGTCCGGATCCGGATGGAACTGACGGCCGTGATTCGAAAATGGAGAGGTGGGGCCACTGGATGAAAGGCCAACTTATTCGGGCACCGTCAGAGTCGATCTACCAACGGTCCGATCTGAGGTTGCTGCTTGGTGTTCTGGGTGCGCCGTTGGCTCCGGTGCACGTTAGCACCAATGACCCTTTGCCTCATCTCAGTATCAAAAACACTCCCATTGTTAGTCTCTCTCTCTCTCTCTCTCTCTCTCTCTCCCTCCCCAGTTTAAATGATTTGCCCACTTTATTTTTCAATTTCTTTGCCTACAATTGTTGTATTTTTTAGATTTTTATATAAATCAGTTGAAATTGAAGGTGGGTAGTATTTTATTCGATGGACTGTGTGGTCTGGCTTAGTAGTTTTGGATTTTATGGTTTAGATGTGGTTGTACCGATGTTTGTTATTATTTGAAGCTTACCCCTGCCACTTTGGAGGTTTCCTAGGACTACAGTTTAAGGTTTCATGGTCAAATAAAAACTAAGGTTTTTAGATCTTTTTGCCAGTGAAATGTAAGTGTAGATGGGGAATAAGTAAGGTAAGGAAGAAGTAGAAGAAAAAAAAAATCCGATTTATTCAATCAATATAAGTGGAACAACCAAATTTAGTTCCTCGGATGTTAAGAGTTCCAATGAAAACCACCCAATTGAGGGGATTGTCAGTTTTTTTATATTTCTAGGATCAATGGGTAAGGTTTTGTTGTTCTAGAACATGGGATTCTATGGAAGCTATGATAAATAAAGTTCAATTACATTGAGTGTCTATAGTATATTTATTTTTCATTTAATGCTTCTATGAAATTAAGCACCATTATGTGTGCATCTCTTTTGTTGTTTTGCATTTCTAGCATTATTGTCTGCAATGTAGTCACTATGCTGTACATGTGTGGCTCAATGGAGAAATTGATTTGCAGTTTGTGCATGTAGAGGAATTTTTTTTTTATTTTTTCATTTTTGTATAGAGTGGGTGGATTTCAATGGTGTTATCTGCTATATTTACTCTCCGGACATTTGTGTTGTATAAACGAAATGGAAAATGAAACGATTCTACATATGCTGTTTAATTGGTGGATTTTCCAACAAAATAAATAAGTGTAACTAAAAGCAATCTGAAGTTGAATCAATGTTGATGGGTGTTGTGGCAGGAAAATTCATCTGCTCAGTACATATTGCAGCAGTACATGGCAGCATCAGGTGGACAGAAACTCCAAAACTCAATTCGAAATGCCTATGCGCTGGGAAAGGTCAAAATGTTAGCTTCTGATATTGAGACGGCTACAAAGGTCATAAAGAGCAGGAATTCCTCCAAAGCAGCCGAACCGGGTGGCTTTGTGCTCTGGCAGATGAATCCAGACATGTGGTATGTTGAGCTTGCGCTTGGTGGCAGCAAGGTCCATGCTGGTTGCAATGGGAAGCTAGTCTGGAGGCACACACCATGGCTTGGCACGCATGCCACGAAAGGGCCTGTTAGACCCTTACGAAGGGCACTTCAGGTGAAGCTATCTGTTATCAATCATGTGTTGGTTCAGTATCTTTGTTTTGCTCAGTCTCTAACCTGTGCTACGCGTTCAGGGTCTTGATCCCAGGACCACCGCAAACATGTTCAGCAATGCAAAATGCACTGGGGAAAAGAAGATCAATGGAGAGGATTGTTTCATTCTCAAGCTTTGTGCTGATCCACACACACTAAAAGCTAGGAGTGAAGGGCCAGCAGAGATCATAAGGCATGTGATGTTCGGTTATTTTAGCCAGAAATCAGGACTCCTTATTCATTTGGAAGACTCCCATTTAACGCGTATTCAAACCAATGGAGGCGATGCTGTTTACTGGGAGACCACAATCAATTCATTTCTTGATGATTACAGACCAGTTGAGGGGATCATGATTGCTCACTCTGGTCGATCAGTGGTGACACTTTTCAGATTTGGAGAAACAGCAATGAGTCACACCAAGACCAGGATGGAAGAAGCATGGACAATTGAGGAAGTGGCATTCAACGTTCCGGGCTTATCAGTAGAATGTTTCATTCCTCCTGCTGAAATAAGATTTGGTTCTATCAGTGAAACATGTGAGCTCCCTCAAGGGGAGAGGGTAAACTCTGCTGTGGCAGCTCATCGAGCCAAAGTCGCAGCTCTAGAGAAATCACATGACAGCAATGTCGATGGTATCATTTTGAAAATGGATATTTAAGAAAGGAGTAGAGTTCGGTGCAAATTTTCACACTGATAGACTAGCTTCTTGGTATGAATAGCCTGACAAACTTGGTTCATATTAGTGAGGTAGGATGTCACTCGGTCGAGACATTTTGAAGATCTTGGATGTGTAAATATTCACATGATGTCTCGGGTGCCTGACCAAATATTTAAGTACTTTAACAGAGTTGGGGTGTGTTCTTGGAGGATGCCTAGCTAATTGAGGTTTGTTTTCCCCTAAATTGTCATTCATCCATAAATTTAGTGTAACTATGGCCCCGAGACTCACTCTTGTAAAGTTGCTTAAGTGAAGACCTGCAACTCTGACTACCGAGGATTTTACTTTTTGTTTTTGAAAAATTCCCATGAAAAGGAATAGAAGAATTCTCACACCGACCTTCAAATGAAATCATTTCATACCTAATGTCCTAATGTTTTATTTTTATGTTCTACATCAGTAATATATATGTTTTTGCTGGTTGTTTAGTGCAGCATGAATATATCCAGAATGAAACTAAAAAAAGTGTTTATAATCTCGGATTTTATATCATCGCTGTTGTGTATTGATAACAACTCCTTTGTTATGGTTAGAAATTTTGAAAAGATTGGGCAAAAACTCTGTTTCCTCTCAAACAAGGATAACACTAGTCCCTATTATTAGTTCTTGGACATAGTTTCTGAATATGGAGTGTGAAAATGAGTGCTGCTGATCCAAGTGTAAGTAAATCATTGTGTTACATCACAAATGTTCAATACCCAAGAATATGTGTTTGCTTAATTTCTCATCTCTCATGTAAAATGAATAAATTACAACTTATGGCAACTTCACTGTAGAGCCGTAATTCGTTTCTTGTTTCATTCATAATACTCTCTTCTTGGTCCACCTCATACTCAGCTTTGCAGAAGAAGGAAAAAAGAAAAGGTGGGGAAAATATAAAGGAAAAAAACTATGATCCTCACATACTCCACTCCTGATATGTGTTTGAATTTGTGGGTTTTCTGTTGTTATCTGCTTTCCTATCAAAATGATCATGTTAAGTTCTAGAGTTGATTATACCCCGACCTGAGGTTTGTAAATCATAATTATACCACCCTGAGTTTGAATCTTCACCAAGCTATTTTCTCTCTGTGGACTTGTAGTGTAAATTGTAACCTGTGCTACCAAGCGAGTTTTGAAAACGGGAACTTATTCATGTCTTCTTTGATCCATCAGTCATCTCAGAAATAATTGGCAAATGAAAGAACTTAGAAGAGCTAAGGCTTGGATTCTTCAGGTTCATTTTGATGACATTTTTATTCAAAAACAGGCATAATTGCAAGAACTTTGTTGGGCTAAGGATTAGTACCTATGCTAATGCAGACTTTTATGCAACTATCTGGTTTTGTTTAAACTTGGAATCAAAACATTGGCAGAAACAAACTTCCACTTATCATTTACACCTAGTTTACTGTGATTAGATTTCGAATCAGGGTCTTCGCTCATCATGATCTTAGAAGTCGATGAAGTTAGTTTCCACGCGGATGGTTATAACAAGTAAATAAACAACAAATTAATATTTGCGTCCCGATAAAACCAGATGTCCATCTAGTAACTGCGCACTAAATCATGGTGACAGATATACAGTTGAAAAGCACCAGTCCGGGGTCCCGGAAGATAGTTTATTCCGATGTGCCATTACTTAATGAAGAATAAAATCTGTAAATCTGATTTTCATGCTTTACATCCACCTATAGTATGTGTGTTTAGCAGCCGCATATTCTTGAGACCTCCCCCATCTGTACTTGAAACTGTTTTTAATACATTCTGCTTCTGTTTCTGTTCTTTGCTTTGCTAGTTGTGGGGTTAAACATTAATTTTGATGATACACACCAGAAAAAAGTGAGAAGGACCACAATCTCACCTGTGAATTGAAGCGACAATACCCCAAAATCAAGCTGTGGTCCCTCGCTCCATTTTGCCATGCAAAGGGCATAAGCATAATGTTCAAACTGTTCCACCTGACTAACCATCATGGTCTGCTCAAGTCCAGAAATTTCCGGGATTCAGATATTTAAGCTCACAAGATCATGAAGAGAGTGAGGCCATCTAGTTGAACTGTGTATGCAACCACATTGGACCATGTATGGTTGTATACTAATCTTCTAGTCTCTCTCACAAGTTCGACTCAATGGTTTAGGAGTTCAAATGTTATCAATTTGCTGCATTTGTAGACAGCAGACTGAGTGTATAAAATTGTACAACCATGATGCATGGAGTCACCTGAGCACTTACCTGCAACACTTTTGTTCATCTCATTGTTGTTGCCCTCCTGGTACCTGAAGTTGGGGTAACGCTATGATAACCGAGACATCTTTTTCAATACCATGTTGAAAGTTAATATAAAATAAATGTGAAGTTATCGTTCAATTTAGTAAGACTAAGACAATAAGGGTGACATAACTAATTCTTTTCGGTCATAATTTAACCATAACTTGTAAATTTTGGTCCAATATTGAAGTCAAAAAGTTAGTCTACCGAAGAACTTGAAGCTTATGCTCAAAGTGGGTTCAATTTAGGACTAACCCGAGTAGATTGTGGCAAGATTGGGATGAGGAATCACATAATTGAAATCTGTCTGAAACTCTGACTAAAATGCAAAAAAAAAAAAAANGAAAAAAACTATGATCCTCACATACTCCACTCCTGATATGTGTTTGAATTTGTGGGTTTTCTGTTGTTATCTGCTTTCCTATCAAAATGATCATGTTAAGTTCTAGAGTTGATTATACCCCGACCTGAGGTTTGTAAATCATAATTATACCACCCTGAGTTTGAATCTTCACCAAGCTATTTTCTCTCTGTGGACTTGTAGTGTAAATTGTAACCTGTGCTACCAAGCGAGTTTTGAAAACGGGAACTTATTCATGTCTTCTTTGATCCATCAGTCATCTCAGAAATAATTGGCAAATGAAAGAACTTAGAAGAGCTAAGGCTTGGATTCTTCAGGTTCATTTTGATGACATTTTTATTCAAAAACAGGCATAATTGCAAGAACTTTGTTGGGCTAAGGATTAGTACCTATGCTAATGCAGACTTTTATGCAACTATCTGGTTTTGTTTAAACTTGGAATCAAAACATTGGCAGAAACAAACTTCCACTTATCATTTACACCTAGTTTACTGTGATTAGATTTCGAATCAGGGTCTTCGCTCATCATGATCTTAGAAGTCGATGAAGTTAGTTTCCACGCGGATGGTTATAACAAGTAAATAAACAACAAATTAATATTTGCGTCCCGATAAAACCAGATGTCCATCTAGTAACTGCGCACTAAATCATGGTGACAGATATACAGTTGAAAAGCACCAGTCCGGGGTCCCGGAAGATAGTTTATTCCGATGTGCCATTACTTAATGAAGAATAAAATCTGTAAATCTGATTTTCATGCTTTACATCCACCTATAGTATGTGTGTTTAGCAGCCGCATATTCTTGAGACCTCCCCCATCTGTACTTGAAACTGTTTTTAATACATTCTGCTTCTGTTTCTGTTCTTTGCTTTGCTAGTTGTGGGGTTAAACATTAATTTTGATGATACACACCAGAAAAAAGTGAGAAGGACCACAATCTCACCTGTGAATTGAAGCGACAATACCCCAAAATCAAGCTGTGGTCCCTCGCTCCATTTTGCCATGCAAAGGGCATAAGCATAATGTTCAAACTGTTCCACCTGACTAACCATCATGGTCTGCTCAAGTCCAGAAATTTCCGGGATTCAGATATTTAAGCTCACAAGATCATGAAGAGAGTGAGGCCATCTAGTTGAACTGTGTATGCAACCACATTGGACCATGTATGGTTGTATACTAATCTTCTAGTCTCTCTCACAAGTTCGACTCAATGGTTTAGGAGTTCAAATGTTATCAATTTGCTGCATTTGTAGACAGCAGACTGAGTGTATAAAATTGTACAACCATGATGCATGGAGTCACCTGAGCACTTACCTGCAACACTTTTGTTCATCTCATTGTTGTTGCCCTCCTGGTACCTGAAGTTGGGGTAACGCTATGATAACCGAGACATCTTTTTCAATACCATGTTGAAAGTTAATATAAAATAAATGTGAAGTTATCGTTCAATTTAGTAAGACTAAGACAATAAGGGTGACATAACTAATTCTTTTCGGTCATAATTTAACCATAACTTGTAAATTTTGGTCCAATATTGAAGTCAAAAAGTTAGTCTACCGAAGAACTTGAAGCTTATGCTCAAAGTGGGTTCAATTTAGGACTAACCCGAGTAGATTGTGGCAAGATTGGGATGAGGAATCACATAATTGAAATCTGTCTGAAACTCTGACTAAAATGCAAAAAAAAAAAAAAAACAAGAAGGTTCCAGGACAAGATCGTGACAAAATTCACTTATGAAATCAGTTCAACTTCAATGCCGAGAGCCAATGTTTTTCTTGTTTATGCAAGTATGGATATATGCAAATCTAGCTAACCCCCTCCCCTCCTTTGTCACATAAGACAAAAAAGCTTTTGGAACAGAAGAAAAGTGAAATCAGAGTAGATAGAGTGAGAAAGAGTCAAGATTTTTTAACTCTAAAAACTTAGAGGCCGCTTGTTTGTCCGACGTGGGAAGCACTGCCATGAAAAGGCAAAATCAAAGTTCAAAGATGAAGTGTTTATCCTTTTTACTTAAAGGCTAAATGGTGACTAGTGATTCTCTCTTCACCTTTTTATTGTACTCTAGTTAAGCATTTTCTCAGAAGTTGATATGAAATCTTCAAACCGTGTTTTGCAAATATATTTTTATATTAAAAAAATATAGGTTTAAATGACATTTTCATAAAAACTATATAAAACTTAGAAAATAAATCTAATACTAAGGTAGAATGAAAATAAAATTCTAAAAGAAGTTTAGAATGATAGAATATAAAATAAATGGAAGATGCTGGTTTAGTACTACCTCTGTCTTAGCTGATGGAATTATCATTATGAGTCCCACTTAACCTAACTTCAAATGCTAGAGAATTAAAGGTTAAGGCTAATTATTCTTGTCCTTTTTAAGAACATGATCTAACTCAATTCAAAATATGCAATCAGCCACTGAAGTCAAGAGAATAGTTAACGTAAATCTAAACACATGTAAGAAAGATAAAAAAAAAAAAGCACATAGGACTTCGGGGCATTATAAAATTTTCTCTGTGCTGGCTAGTTGTCACCGCACAATTAGGCCAATTCCACTAACCTCCTAACATTCCTGCCTTTCAGATCTTTACATGTAAACCCTAAAACCCTAATCCAAATCCAAAATTTCCATACTCAATCTTCATTTACTCATCTATGGATTCTCAGAAGAAAACCAAGAAAATATCAAACACCCCCACCCCCACCGCCGCCACTGCCACCAACCTCTCTGCAACCATGCCCACGGACCAGACTTGCACTGACCCTTCCTGTTTTTTTTGTCTCATGAAAGAACCAGACCCGTCAATCAGGAGACCAGAAATCACAAACTACTTCAAAAAAAAAGCTCTATTTGACGACCAAGAACTCGTTTTGGTTCTGAGCGGGCTGTGGAATATTGCCATGACTCAACCTGATGATCCAGAGCTTCCATCTCTGGGCATCTTTGAATGCATGGCAAGCCTGATCTCTAAAAGCATCAATAATAGAGCTTGGCTTCTAAGAAATCAAAACATATATATCCCTTACTATGCTGCTCATGTTATTGGTTCCTACACCATGAATAAGGTTGAGTTTGCAGAAAAGGCTGTTGAATCAGGTGTAATAACGCCATTAATGGAGCTTCTAAGAGGAAAGATGAGTTGGGTCGAGCAAAGGGTTGCAGTTAGAGCGCTTGGTCACCTTGCAAGCTATGAGAAAACCTTTGGAGCTGTAGCTGAATATGAAGATGAGGTGGTCAAGTTAGCCATGAATTTAGCTTCAACTTGTCTTGAAGAAGTGTATGTGAAGTTTGTAGGAGTGAAGGATACGAACAAGAGGTTGAAATATCACAGGGATTTGCTTACCAGAGGCATTGGAGGTTTAGAAACAGAGAACAGGAAAGCCGAGGAATGGGCTAGCCAACTTCAGTGCTGGTCTCTGCATATTCTCAATTGCTTTGCCATCAAAGAAAGATCTTTGGGTCTAATTTGCAAGCAGGAATTCTTGAAGGACTTGTGTGAAATGTGGGGTGGGTTGATGAATCAAACATCACCTGCTGGGGTTGGTCTCGTTAGAATTCTATGTTACAGTAAAGTGGGAAGAAAATCAATAGCAGATTCACAAAAACTTGCGGAGAATCTTTGTAACCTCTCGAGATCTTCAGATGATTGGCAGTATATGGGTATTGATTGTCTGCTTTTACTTCTCAATGATCCAGATACGAGGTACAAGGTTATTGAAATTGCCACCTTGTATCTTATTGATTTGATTGATCTTAGAGCCCTTGGAGGGAGATCAAACGTTGGTGAAACAATAACTAGAACACTCCTTAGTGATTTTAAACAAAGGGAGTCAAAAATCAAGAACAGTAAAGTTCGAAGAGCACTGGAGGATATTTGGGGTTTGATGGTGGATAGGAGAGAGAAAGAGCATGCGATCTCTGAAGAAAAACTCCAAGAGAAAAGGGTAATGGTGAGTCTGATAAAACAGCAAGGAAACCATAGCTTTTGGGTAGGAGAGATTAAAGAAGCAATCCTGAAGTTCACAGAGGCTTTGGAGTTGTGTCCATTGACATTCAGAAAACAAAGAATTGTGCTTTATAGCAATAGAGCTCAGTGTCATTTGTTACTTAGAGACCCAGATGCTGCCATTACTGACACAACCAGAGCTCTTTGCCTCTCGAATCCCCCAAACTGTCACGGCAAAAGCCTTTGGAGAAGATCACAGGCGTATGACATGAAAGGGTTGGGCAAAGAGAGCTTGATGGACTGTTTAATGTTCATCAATGGCTGCATCAAATCAGGAGGAACTTCAAAATCAAAGCATATGAAAATTCCATACTATGCGGTGCGTATGATCAACAAGCAAGTGGATTCAACTTGGATTTTCACAGCTGCTCGATCAAAGAGTCATGCTAAGAAACTACAGCAATCACATGGTGGTGGTGATCAGTACCTCAATGATCAAATGCTGAGAATGATAATAGAGAACAAGGGTTTCATGTCAGGTAATTAAGCCTCATGAAATACCATTACATATAGCATTTTATATGTGTGTTCCATAGTCAAATTGTGTTGGTGAATTCAGTGACAAAAACCCATATGTATATATATATAATGATCTTCTAAAAATATCACAATTATTGTTTGTAAGGAAAAAGACATAATAAAAAGTCCTACAAAATTAGGTAGTCTCCGATTTAAGTCGATGTCATATGTATGATTTTATAGTTTGTCAGCCGCTCCTCTCAAGTAAATGCATCTATTTATTTTTTAAAAATATTAAAGAATTTTTTGAGCCGGAACAATGAGCTATTTGTGTAGTAGAGAATATATTGAGTTATCATTTTTAGATTATTTGATGAATTTGCATTGAAATTATTGACAATCTAATGAAATTAAATTGGCATTTAGTGGTACACAAGTGATTGCTAAATAAAATTAAGTTGAAATTATTTATTATTGTTACTTGATAAGTATTTATAATTAATTAGACAAAATTAAATCAATTCTCTCAATTTAATTTAAATAGATAATATTAATGTATCGTGTTAAAATTTATTTTAATAGGTTTTACATAACTAAAAATTTAACATTAACGATAACTTATAAAATAATCTCATTAAATATCATTGTTCGACCAGTGATTCCGTCCCTGGTGGTGATACACCCAAGTTTCAAAATTTTCATGTTCTAAGATTTTTTGGAACAAATTTAGCGAGTGTTTTGAATCAAAATTTCAAAATTTTTTTTTTTGATACTGAAAATTCCAAATGTTTAAACCAATGTTACAAAACATCAATATCCATGTCCAAGCTAATTGAAACTATACGCTGAAAACGAATTTTTGATATGTTACACATCTACTTCTTTAACATGCAGTCAGTGTCCATGTCGTGGTGACTTTATACCTAATGTTGTATGTAAATGGGAATCACGTTTGTCATTGAACTTTTTTCAGGTCTGTCCACTATTTTAGAAGAATCCTTGATCGCAGAAGGTGGGAGCCATAGAAGAAAGATGGATAAAGCAAGAGGTAGAAAGAAAGCTGTTTTGGCTCGATCAACGTAAGTCAAAAAAATGTACTGCATCAATATAGCAGAAGAAAAAAAAAGTAAGTTTTAGTAGTACACCGCCTTACTATCAGCATGGCAATTTTGACGATGGAATGCTACATATGAACAAGAACAGGTTGGAAATCATCTATTTGATAGGATCATTCGTCAAAACTTGTTGAAGTTTAAATATTTAAATTACACTATCTCTAACAACTTAAAATTTTAGCCTAAGAAGTTATTTAACATGATATTAGAGCAAGAGATCATCTATTAGAATTTTATCACCAACCCAATGATTAAAAAAATCTCACGTGATTGGCCTAAAAGGAAGTTATACCATATTTAGGGTTGTTAATCGAGTTGAATTTTGTGAACTCGAGCTCAAGTTGAACTTATCGAGCTTGTTTTTTTAAATGAGCTTAATAAATTGTTCAAGTTTGACTTATTTAAAAAATAAGTTGATCTCAAATCGAATCCAAAATGAGTCGAGCCCGAATATTTTCATTATTCTATAAAAAAATAAGCCGAATTTTGTGAGCTTGAGCAGACTAAAAAATTATTCAAATTCAATTTGTTTAGTACACAAGTTGAACTTGAGTCGAATTCTACCCGAGTTGAGCTTAAGCCAAATTCGAGTAGTTCAACTCAATTATCAATTCTAACCTTTGTTAAACTACCATACTTTGAATCAACAAAACGATGGTAATGACAAAAAACTACAATCTTAGAGAGAGAGAGAGAGAGAGAGAGAGCAAAATATAGGAATATTTTCTTCCTTTTCATCATCGTGCAGGCATATGAGAAAGGGTGGAGAGGACCACAAATTCATATTGAATTAAGTACAACGAAACAAAGAAACTTGCCATTAAACAAAGTGTACTGTCTATATAATTACATGGCTTTCTGGGGTTGCTAAACTCAGTGTATACCATATGCACTGCAAAAAATAACTAATGAAAAACCATATAAATTAATCCAATATTTTTTAGTAAAGAAATGTACAATCCAGTATGATAATTATGATTCTTTTTTTTTTTTACACTAATAAGTACCATCAAATGAGAGTGTTATGCTGATAATCTAAGAAATAAGAATGCTCTGATGACTATGCTTTAAAATAAGAATGGCTTGTTGATTCTTCTGATCATGTCCCAGCATTTAGGTTATATTTCACTAATACCCCCTCTAGTTTAGGTCATTTTTTTTCTTTTTGGTACAATAGGCAAAGCTGTCCGGACTACCTTACACACATCTCGACTAATCCCCCTCCGTTCTAGTCAAAAACAGATTATCCGCACTAAAACTAAAGTATTCATAAGAGATAAATCTCTTAAAACTTTGATCTAAATAGTTGTCAATATTCGAACTTAAAACATCTAAGTTTATAACTTGTCACTCAAATCACCCTTTAAGATTGGTTTAGGTCATATTTATGTATATTGATATGTATATTTCTTTATATCAGCATACATACAAAAAAAGAAAAAGAGAGAAATTAGGGAAAGCAATTGATCAATTACATAATAGATTTCTTACAAATATTGGTGTAAGTACTTTAGACAGATTTACTGTTCCTAAAAAAATCTTTAAAAAAAAAAAAAAAGGTTAGGCAGATTTGCACCAACATAACTAAGAGGTACGTGTTTTCTTCTAAGGTAGGTTAGCCGTAGATTTAGACTTTTTAGGTTATTAAATAAGTAATTATGTGTACAGATCTTTTATTTCATCATCTCAATCAAATCAACTTGTAGCCTGCTAGAAGTTTTCTAATTATAGTGTACTTAATGCTAGTTTCCACCAAAATAACCGATCACCTTTTCTATTGGAATAAAGAGGTTAACACTTAAAAAAAATAAAAAAGAGAATAATATTAGATGAATTTAAAAATTAAATTTAAAAGTTAAATATAATAATCTCAATCATTAAATGAGTGGTGGGTCTCAATAAATACTGGAATCTAGAATAAAATAAATAATTATAATTATTAAATCTGATTTTTAAGTCTATGTAACATTATTAAAAAAAAAAGTGAAAAACACTTCCCAACCAAGTAAATAGCGTGGAAGAACAACTCAGATTGCGTGCAAGAGAAAAACTTTCATACCCACTGCTATCTGCCCTCTACGAACACACGACGTTATTGTACATAAATAAATTTAAATAATATTTTTTTATAAAAAAATAAATTATTTGTTAATTTTAATTATTATTAAATTTAATTATTAATTTATTTTGTAAGTCTTTTGATTATATATTCTATCTTTTATTTATGTATCTTTTCAACCCTTTTAGATATTTGCATATTTAATTATAGGATAAATTTTACTTACCCCACCCCCTTAGGTGTGATTTATAGGATAAAATTACGTATTCTGTTAGGTTTGTTAACCAACAAAAAATTATAATGGTATGCAATGATATTTCATAAATTAGAGGAGGTGTTAGTGAAATATGACTTAAATCCAGAGAGTGTCAGTGAAATTTATCCTTAATTAAATTATAAAATTATTAATTTTTATTTTGTTAAATAAATTGATTAGATCATTTATAATATTATTATAGTATTGTGGACCAAAAAATAAAAAATAACATATTTAACCGCAAAATTTGTTCTTATAATTTATTCTTATTTTAGTTTAATATATATCTTTGGGTCTGGGTCAATACTTCCCAAATAAAAATTTGAATAATTAAGTAAAAATATAAATAAGTAATAGCATGAATTAGTCAAATTCACGAATTAAAAAATTAAATTTATAAATTTTGTAAAATAAGAATACGAATTCACAGAGAGGTTTACTCTCATGGCACGGGGCCATTAGGAGTTTAGAAATGATTATGTGACTAAGGCCCAGTTTTAATCCTCCCTATACGAACATAATGGGCCCAAACTTATTCTTTTCAGTCTCAAAAAAAGCCCACTCTTAAGTTGTTAGACCAGGATATAATGGTTTCTTCCGAGGATAATTCTACATGCGTCAAATTTGTATATCAAAATCTACATCAATTGTTGTTGGATTAATAATCAGACCCACTTATCCAACTGCTGCAACTAATTCTATACAAGTTTTAGTACGTACGTATTTTTGGTGCACATAGCATTATCTGAACTGACCCAGTATATGGTCCAGATGTTACACTGTTTGTCTCATGAAGTCTAGTCCCTTTTTGAGTTGCCTTCGGGACTGACCCATGCCATGCAGGTACGAATCCAACCCTTAATTATTTGGGTTTTAAGGGAGTTGATACCCTTTTTAGAAATTATAGTACAAAAAGTATCACTTTTAAAAATATTGGTCAAAAATATACAATACATAACAAATGTCTAAAATAGCCCATTCGGAAGAAGGTGAATATTCTCCTAAATTTTTCCCTCCAAAGCCGAAACAACGGAAATGGACTGTTATCCATAACTCCTTCAATATTGCTGAAAATGTGGGCTCTTCAAAAATTGATGACATAACTTCCTAAAACTTCCATTCTTTTCAAAACAGGATGTTCAAAATCAATTCTTTTTTTTTTTGTTCTTCGAATGGGTTTCTCTGTGAGTTAGTGAAATGACACTAGTAGACAGTGAAGAACGAATCAATGAAGAAAAAGACTTTCATTGTGGAGATAAAGATATATGAAAACTTCCTAAACCCTCTATTCCTTTAAAGACATAATGTTCAAAAATGGGTTTTTCGTTCAACCAGTTCTCATTTTTTTTTTTATGTGTTTACTGTTCAATTTTGATGGGTTTAATTTAATAATGTTGAAAACTTTCGTTCAAGACATGATGTTCAAAATGGGCTTTCCTTTCAACCCATATTCAATTTTTTTTTTTGATGTGTTCATTGTTCAATTTTGATAGGTTCATTTTAACAATGTTGAAAACTTCCGTTCAAGACATGATGTTCAAAATTGGTTTTTCGTTCAACCCATTTTCAATTTTTTTTTATTTTATTTTATGTGTTCACTGTTCAAAATGGTTTTAAAAAAAATAATAATAAATTGGGTTCAGTATGAAATAGTGAAAGTCTCTGTTGCAGATGGTGACGACCACACCATTTTGTAAACGGTGAATAAAAAGGCATTCATTGGGGTGAGGAAGGATTGTTGAGATCATTGAATAGTGCTTGAAAATAACTTGTCGACATTGGGGAAGGTAAACTTTGATAAATTATGGCGTTGAATCAATAATATCTCCAAGTTTTTTTGGTAATTTGATTGATTGTTACAACTGCTATTTATGATTAAATTGTTAAATTTCACAAGGAATATTACATTATGATTCAAGTAAATTTGAGTATTTGTAAATTTGCAAAATTTGTTATTTGACCAATAATGTAATAACAAACTAATTTCAACTATATGTCAGGGTCGACTGTGGTGTGTACGTTTGCTACATTATGAAACAATTGGCAACAGGAGAAGACGTAGAAGAGAATTCGATACAAAGACAAATAAAAGACTTTCAAAGTGAAATACTGCCAATGTTTCTGAATTATCAAAATTCTTGGACAGAAGACAATTTCAAAACGAGACAAACATTGAAAGACAAATTTGCGGGTACATGATTAGTTCTTCAAATTGTTATTACACATTTGCAGTGTAAATGTGGTTAGTGAACAGTGTCATTGGGATTTTGATGTAATACTAGTAGTATTTATGTGACTTTGGGTTATGGCAATGTGATTTTGGATTCTAACAGTGCAATTTTGGATTATAACAGTATGAAATTGCACTATCAATTTTGTTAATTTGATTTGCAACAGTGGGATATTAAATTGTCACATTGAGGATTTAATTTGTAGCAGTGTGACATTATGTAATTGACCGACAGCAGAATTATATTTCTTTTGTATTAGTATGAAATTTTCGATAATATCAGTGCGTCATTGGTTGTATCAGTGTCATTTGAAGGTTAAAATATGATGACATTGGTTTGAGTGAGGATGACATTTGGCTAGAGGCAATGTGTCATTGGCTGATAGTTGTGTGACATTGATTGTTAACAGTATATCAATGTTTGATAACAGTGTGTCATTGTCTGTTTATCATGTTGATTTTGGGTTGCAGCAGTGTCTCATTGATTGATAATAGTGTCATTGGATGGTCTGACTATCTCATTGTATGCTTCTATATTGAATGTGAGTTATATCAGTGTTACATTAGGTTCGTAACATTGTGACATTGCATGGTCTGACTTTGACATTAACAGCGAATTTTGTGACATGTTGTCACACTGTGACAAATACAAATGGACAACTGGAAAAAAAAAAACATTACATGCATAGATAAGATATGAAGGATATTCCACATTTATAAAAATCATCTTCAATTCTAACACAGTTCAACACACTCCATCTCTAAACAAACCCCAAGTTTGATAACCACATTGTTAATTTATTATGTGTTCAAAGAAAAATAAACATAAAATAACACCAACTACATTGTCAATAATAACATTTAATCACAATGGTGCAAAGAGCATTACGAAACTGCAACACACCACACCTTTAAATTTCTGTCTTACATGTTTGATTTCATTAATCCACTCAGATGTTAACAAAACTTTCTCGTTATGTTGACTATAACGAGGCAGCAAATCATCTTTCGAATCAAAATCATCATTCGGATTATGCAAATCTTTAATTAAATTATTAAGAGCACCTCCATTTGAGTCATCATCGTTTACGGTTATCCTCACAGAAACATGATTGACGTTAAGAGAATGTGACATTTCAAACATATTTTTTAAGTCTTCATCATTCTTCAAGAAACAATTTGGGATTTCGGAGAGTGAATATGACAACCGTACTAATAAATCCCGCAACAACTCCCATGTATCACACACTCGATTTAACACATCTTCAAACGGTGATTACCTTCAAACGCGGATAATTAACGACTCATTCTCATAACTGCATAACAAAATGATCATATCCTCCATCAAAATTCTGTGAAAAAAAATAATGTGAAACATATATTCGTCATTAAAATTTATTTATAAAAAAAAAAAATTACAACAGTGTATAAGACATACCTGACACACGTCGTCTTCTACTGCAAGTTTGTGGAAGATGTGTAAAAACCCGGTAACGGTATGGAAACAATAGCGAACTTGTTAAAAAATATGTAATTAACTCAAGCAGACTAACATATGGATATTTGAATAAAACTTTTACAGACTATATAAAACATGGGTTAAGGAATGGATAAGGAAATTGTTTGTTAAATGAAGGAGGAAGAGGAAATTCAAAATTCAAAAATGATATATCATTAAAAAAGGAAAACTGAATTTAAAATATAACTGTCATATTTGTGTCCAATTAATAAAGGAAAATGACAATTTTGTAAGAGAAAAAATTAAAATTCAGCAAAAGTGTACCTCCTCACCAAACATTTACACACAAAAGTACTTATACACAAATGTTTTATATTAAGGTACTTTTCCACAAATAAGTATTACATAGTATACTTTTTCACAATTTTCCCTAATTATTTTGTCCATCTTCCTAATCTTTGAGGGATTTTTTTTTTTTTTGTCTATTTTATCTAATCAAGTATACTATTTTTTTTAAAGTGTATTATTCCTACTCGAATTCTGTCCAAAATAATCGAGTAAGAAATCGGGTGAATACATATATTTTAGTTATTATTTTTTAGATCATTTTAATAATTTAATTAAGTAACATGTACGAATTAACTAACAAAATAAATCAATAACACTAAATAAAATACAATAATACATAAAAAACTACAATAACAAAATAAATCAATAACACTAAATAAAATACAATAATACATAAAAAACTACAATAAGACACAACAAGAAAGTCATAAATATTAATACATCATATATAAGAAAGTCATAAACATCAATAAAACATTACGGTTTCTAGATTTTTGAATTTTAATTTTTAGGGATTAACATATATATGCTGATAGGATAGGGTAGTGTAGAAACACAAAAATTTTGTAGGTATTTTGCATTCATATTCAATTTTTTGCAAAATACTAAAAGATCTTCTGTTGGTCTACTCAATTCTTTTGGATAGTCAATCAATAAGGTAAGACAAGATCAAAATTTGCGAGTAATCAAAAATTTGAACACCCCTAATTTTGGTAGGGATGTCCAGCCTTGTTTTGCTCAAAAAGATTAATATTAAGTTAGTTTTTTTAAATAATCACTTCATTTTTTTAATATTTATATAAAAATATATACATGTTTTGGGTTAGATCATAATCTAATTGGATATAGGTATATTAAAATCTAAAATTTATGAAATATAAGATAACATATTCGGGTTTGAATTATCAAAACAAAATATCAATCCATTTTCGACTAATTGAATTCAAATTCAAGTTAAAACTAATCAATTAGCCGACCTACTTGTAGAGAAACTTCATGTCTTGACCTCCGTGAAATTGGATTTTTTAAATTTTAAAATGGTCATGCTATCCGTGCAGAATTTATTTATTCAATTATAATAAAATCGTTCAATAAAAATAAAAATAGGCCAAATTAGATCATCTGCACTTGATTTTGTCCGTTCGTTTGTCGTCCTGTCCTTTAGCAGCCATACGTTTTGGCTATGGAATATTTTTGCAATAGTAAAACAACGCATGCGATCCTCGCTTTATTTACTAATCTAAGAAAAGTGGTTCACTTATAATCATATATTTCGCATTATATCTTAGAATCAAATTATACTTTAGACTAAAATTATATTATTTTAAATTCTTATGGACAGTTTACTGATTAAATCTATATTTTGGTGATTCAGTCTTAGGTTCAATTCCTTTCCACAGTCTCTAAGAGCTAACCAACCTTATCCATTAAATGATATGTTTTAACCCAATTCAAGCAAGCTATTGTGGTGAGCTGCTGAGTTTGAGAGAATAGTCGGTGTAAATCCGAACACACTATAACTAAGAAAATTAATATTATAATATGATTATAGTAGTGAGTTCGGCACCATACTAAGATAAAACTTATTTAAAATTAAGTTACGGTTTTAAAAAAGGTCAATTATGACATAATGGGGTTAAATTACAACTCAAAATAAGTTAGGGTCTATTATATTACATTCTTTTACGAGGGGGTACAACACAAAAGTTTTTCTAACACAAGGGTCACTCTTTGTAGTATTATTCTCACTTAAAAATTTGCATGCATTAGTACCAATATCATTATATCCGTTATTGTTGATCTTAATATGTTAGTATCGATTCTCAACAACTCCATTTTTATGTAATCTCATCAAATGAATTCATAATTTTCATTTAATAGTGACTTTACATACCTACTAGAGTGTTTATGTGTAAAATACATTTTTTTTATTGTGATTAAAAATTTAAAATATAAGTCGTAATATAAGCAAAAAGATTTAAATGATTTGAATCGATGTTGTACTTTAGGGTGCTCCCATGCAAAACACTTTTTTTTTACTATTGTTTAAAAATTAAAATATGAATCATAATATAATTTGTCGAAAATAAATAATTTGAACTATTGATGTGTTTTGTGTAACCAGGAGTATATGTAATATTATATAGAGCAACAAAAAAAGTGTTAATCGTAAATTACGCATCGAAAGATTGTTCAAATTTTAATTTGCACTTTTAAATATTAAAATTCTTAATTTGCACTTTCAAAAATAAAAATTTGTATTAATGTGCATATGAAGCTAACAACCATCAATTTACAATCTAAAATTAAATTCATAAATTACACTTATACCCCTCATGCTTGTCACTTACTCACCTAAACCTCTTACATTTAAAATATTACACCTACTTCCCTTGAGAATTTATATATGACTAAAAATATTCTCTCAATTGGGCATCAAAATAATTTTGTTTAAGTGATGTATTGCATTGGATATAAATAATATTATATAAATATATGCATTATATTGAACATTCAAATGATAAACTTGATTTTGAATTTTAGAGTGGACCCAAAAAATAAGAGTAGTATAAAAATTATAATTTTTTATTAGATAAAATTATGTTTTTTAACGGTTATATTAACAAATATCAACAAAAAGATGTTATGTGTCACACTGAACAAACGTCAAAAGGTGTAGGAGTACTATTCTAAATGTGAGAGATTCAAATGATTAAATGACAAACTTAAGGATCTCTAAGTGTAACTTACCCAATTAGTTTCACACGGTAAATTGACGGTTGTTAGCTTTAGATGCGCATTGATACAAATTTATATATTTTAAGGTATAAATTAAAATTTTTTATTTTTGTAGTTTCAATTTGAGATTTGAATGATTTTTTGGGGGTGAAATGTGCAATTAACCCAAAAAAGGAAAAAAAAAAAAACAAATGTCCTCTTATTATGGGTAAAGGAAAGATATACTAAATGGCATGCTCTCCAAAACTGTACACACAACCACGCCCAACAAAAAGAAGCAATTTTTTTTTTTTTGAACTGTCAAAAAGAAGCAATTTACTTACCCAAAACAAAAACCAAAAACAAAAAAGCAATTTGTCTTTTCCTCCCTCGGTGTTGCTTTATATTTGCCACAAACCAAACACAACTCAACAAGTCATCGTTGGCAATCAGAGTGCGGCTTCTCTCTCTCTCTTCTATTCTATTCTGCTTCATCTTTTCCTTGTCTCGCACCCAGCAATCGGGCAAATGAGCTGGTGGTGGACTAGATCTCTTAATTGTGGCGAGGTATGTGAATGTGTATTGTATGCGGATCTCAATAAATATTAGAGACTATCAATGGCTCCCAGATACTCCGAAGTTTGGAGTCAGTCAAGTTGTGTTACATTTCTAGGTCATATAAATCCTGTTAGTATTTAAATTAGTTCATCACATATCTGAGTTATTTATAGCCGAATTCGTATCGTATATACAGGGGTGGCTTGATATGTATTGAGGCCTAAAGCGATAAATTCGACTGTGGTTGTTTTAATTTTTTTTTAATAATAATGTAAATTTTTTAATATTTAATTTTTTTTCCGGATGCATATTAATTGTTTAATAATCATATTGAAATTTTTCTAACATATCTTTTTTTATTGATAATATAACTAATTGACTTAATTTTTAAATTAAATAAATAATTCCAAAACTTTCACATTTACAGATTATTTGACAAATTATATTGTCTCGTCATTGATACTCTTGTAAAAATATTTTTCTATGAATTAGAGATTCCTCATAAAATATATGTTTGATTAGAATTTTTAAGATTATGATAAAAAATGTAATATTACATAGACCTTATTTGGTGACTTTATCTGATGATCTTATTATTTTTTGTTATTAGATATACAGTGGACCCTACTATTAGTTAGGATCTACTATCAATTCTATAGTTATGATCTATCATGTCACCAGATAAGATTACTAAATTCGATACAAAAAATATATATATATTTTTTTCTTATAAAATGTTATTGTGTGAGATTAATGAATTAAATTTTTAGGCCAAAAATTAGTCTAGAGGTTTTTTTTGTTGGTTTAGGCCTTTATAGGAGGTGTTTTTAATGGATTAAAATTGACTTTGAGTTATATTTATAAAATTTTTTAATTTACGAGTCCTTTTATTGGTGGGACCTAAAGCGACTTCTTTATTTCCTCCTGTGTGTGTTGGGCCGGCCTTGGGTATATAACTCATATTTATCAACTCTAGCTATGAAATAGTTCTCCCACTTCATCTTTTTGAAACCTTTTTTTTTTTTTAAGAAGTTTCAAACTCATTTACTTCTTCGCATGAAATGTGTTTCCAAAATCCGAATCTATACTAAAAGTTGTGTTTCGTAAACACGATTTAATTGAATAAACACTGTTATTTGCAGAAGAGAGATGAACAAAATGGAGCTGCAGGAAGCTCCCAGAGTGTAGGCCTGATCGTCGGGGTAACCGGCATCGTTGGCAGCAGTTTGGCTGAAATCCTTCCGCTGCCAGGTACACCCGGTGGTCCATGGAAGGTCTACGGCGTTGCCCGCCGCCCATGCCCCTCCTGGTTATCGAACCACCCAATTGAATACATCCAATGCGACGTCTCCGATGCCGGAGACACCATTGCCAAGCTCTCCCCACTTACTGACATTACCCACATCTTCTATGTCTCCTGGATTGGCTCCGAGGATTGTCAAATAAACGCAACGATGCTCCAAAACATCTTCAATGCAGTAACCCCCAATGCTCCAAATCTCAAACACATATGCCTACAAACTGGGATCAAACACTATTTCGGACTATTCGAAACCGATACTAAGACCGAACCACATGATTCACCCTTCACTGAAGATCTCCCAAGACTAAACCAACCAAATTTCTACCACAATCTTGAAGACATTCTCTATGAAGAGACTGCCAAGAAAGGCTTGACATGGTCCGTTCACCGACCTGCTCTTGTTTTCGGGTTCTCTCCCTGTAGCCTGATGAACATACTTGGCACACTCTCAGTCTACGCCGTAATATGCAAGCACGATAATAAACCGTTGGTCTATCCCGGCACCGAAGCTTCCTGGAACTGCTATGCAGACGCCGTGGACGCAGAGCTGATAGCCGAGCACCAGATATGGGCGGCGGTTGATCCAATGGCGAAGAACGGGGCGTTTAACTGCAACAATGGGGATGTTTTCAAGTGGAAACATATGTGGAAGGCTTTGGCGGAGAAATTTGAGTTGGAAATGGTGGGGTATGAAGAGGGTAAAGAGCAGGTGAGCATGGAAGAGATGATGAAGGACAAAGGACCAGTGTGGGATGAGATTGTGAGAGAGAACCAATTGGTGCCAACCAAGTTGGAGGAGGTTGGAGCTTGGTGGTTTGCGGACATTGCTTTTGCTTCTCAGAATTTGTTGAGCAGCATGAACAAGAACAAAGAGCATGGGTTTGTGGGGTTCAGGAATTCTATTAAGTCCTTTACTTCTTGCATTGACAAGATGAAAGCTTATAGGATTATTCCTTGAAAGAAAAATGGAAGTTTGAAGTTGGTTGCGATTTTTATTTTATNGAACAAGAACAAAGAGCATGGGTTTGTGGGGTTCAGGAATTCTATTAAGTCCTTTATTTCTTGCATTGACAAGATGAAAGCTTATAGGATTATTCCTTGAAAGAAAAATGGAAGTTTGAAGTTGGTTGCGATTTCAGTGACCACCACAGTATAAGTGGAGTGTTTAATCACTGGAATAGAACCTCAATCCTAAATTGATTGTAGTTTGCAGTGAGGTTTTTAAGAAAATAAGAGTGAATTATGTCATGGATTATATAAGGCAGGATTTTGTTGAATTGTGTTTTTAGTGTAATGGAATGTTTAAGAACAAGTACTTATGTGAAAACTTTTCATTTGAGGCTGCAAGACCTTATTGCACTGCAGAAGAATTTGTTTCAACACTTCTTAAATAGCCTTGAGAATAAATTAGATTTTGACGATTTGCAATGAGTAATGATAGATAGGTAAAAAATGAAACCAAAAAAAGAAAATCCAAATGATGCGACACTAAAATGATGTTGATGTTAAAAAACAATAATACTACATTCATCAAATTTTAGAATCAAATTTGGAACTCAAATGACGTGACAGCTGACTATTTGAAGTTTTTATTGGAGTGCAAATAACATAACACCAAATAAAGAAGCCCAAGTCAACTTTCATGTCATTTGTACTCTAAATTTAGTCCCAAAATTTAGTCAATGTAGCATTACTCGTTAAAAAATTTTGTCTTTTTGGGAGAAGTTTGGTACCGACAATCTAAATGTCGGCACTGTAATAAATATGTGATTGTCAATTTTTTGGCATTAAATATTATCTATTAAAGGTGATATCTTTACATCTTAAAGTCACACATTTTTCTCTAAGGGCATGTTTGGTTGAAGGATAATGGTGGTACAACGAGGTGGAATTAGAGAAATAGTATGTGGGGTCCACTTTATACTTTGTTTGCTTGATATTTTACAATTAATAATATTTTCTGGATCGTAATACCGACTCAGTTTAAACAGTACATCGAAACTCATCTATATGGCTTTATATAATATCACCTGGGATGTGATATTATTTTTCGGGTTTTGGCCACAAACGATATAAGGTGAGTAATTTATTACTTTACCCTTCAAACTCAGCCTTAACCCTGAAATAACGTCAAGCATCGCTAAAGAAGACGAAGACGAAGATGTCTCCATTGCCAACTCCAATTCTACCTTCAGTTAACATCTCTCACCTTATGCTCTCCTCATTTTTCACCACCCAAATCACAAACACATCTTAAATCGTCAACAACAGTGGTTGATTTCTATAATCGATCTGTGCTAGGGTTTTTAATACACAAAAATTTTTGATTTTCTACTTTGTATACCTACATCGCCCAATAAACCCTAATACCTAGACCCTCGGGCTAACATAGATGCATCCATGAAATAATTTTTCCAAACTTATTTTCCTCTTCTTTGTCTCTTCTTCTGCAAATTTTGGTACAATAGCTTGGTAGAATGACACTGATCATCAACAATAGCTCCAGAAACCTATGTCCCCCATCAACAATCAGTGCATTTTTTACAATTACATGTGTACTGGTTTGGGTTTTGCATATGAGAGCTTTTAAAAAGGGGGAAAATGCCTTTTGTTTAATTGTAATAACTTTTATATGTTTGTTTTATTGGATGCATTAACAATTACAAATTATGGGCTTCAACAAACTTTTATTTTTTTATGTTACTGTGGTGGAAAATTGATGTTGCACAATGGTATTTACAATTTTTTTTATGTATGTTTTTGATTTTGGTGTTGGTTTTTTCTGTTTGGGATTGATTTTTTTTTAAAAAAAAAAAATTGGTTCATTTATTTGAAACTTAGGTGTGTTGCTTACGAACATATAATTGCATGTGTATAGAGAGATTAATGCAATAGCTGATTTTCTTGCCTCGTTTGCAGTCAAAACTGAATGTTTTACTGATTTTTCAGTAAGAGGCATTCTGCCATTGGAGGGGAGATTGCTCTTGCAACAAGATCAGTCCACGATGCCTACTGCAAGGATGAGAAAGGTGGTGTTTGGTGGTCAGCAGGCTGGAATGTTGCAGAATTAGCAGCTATACGTGGAGGGACATGCAGACAGAAGATTAAAATGGTTTAAGTGTTTTTTGAAAGACTAAAGTCATTTCTTGGAGGTGATGGTACATGCCCTAAAGGTTGATAGGTGTAGCCCGAACTGGACAGCTGAACTATAATATCTGACATAGAATATTGGATGGGTGTAGCCGGGACTGGGCAACAGAATTACAGACCGATAATATTTTAATTTGGTGCGAGAAAATTGTACCCGTGTGAGTAGGTGGAAAAAAGAAATCGCTGAGTTTATGGAAACAAGATACTCCTGAAAAATGATGTTTGATTACTTGAAGGCTATGTAGAAGAAGGTGAAGATTTTGACATGATGTGTTTTGTGCCTCTTTCTTCCTTATAGAAGGCAATGTGACATTTCCCTGCATCTTGGCATTGAATATTCCACTCTTTGTATGATGTATCTGCTGGAATATCCCCCTCAAAAAGTTTTCCTTGCTTTCTTCAAATTTCATCCATTGCGCAAGACAAATTTTGAGCCCTACATCTCACCCGTATTTTTTCTTGAGTGAGGTTGAGGTACCCCTCATCTCAGAAGACTACAAGTGTTAATGATCCTTCTATACAACGCTTTTGAACATGTGGCTTGTGTGATGTTCTTGGCAATTCACCTAATGCTGAGGGCATTTGAAAGTTCANACTTTGTTTAGTCTAAATCTGCCAGCAAACTGGAAAAAAGCTGAGCGGATAATTGAGTAATTGACATAATAGATCTCTCATTACCTTTTAAGATATGGAATTCCTAAGAGAAAATTTCATAATATCAAAAATAAAGGATGAATTGCACTTTGTAACCTCAAAAATTAAAATTTTCATTTTATACCCTCAATATATTAAAAGTGTTGCAATGTGATTCTTACGTTAGTTATCATTACTCATTCTATCAACGTCAATAGAATGAATTTTGATTGAATAAGCAACAGAAGATAATAAAATGATCATATTACAACACTTTTAATACATTGATGATATAATATAATAAATTTCATCTTTGAAAGTACAAAGTGAGAAAACTTATATAAAGGTTTCGGAATGTAAAGTGAGATTCCCCCAAAATAAAAATTGGAAGAAAGAAAAAGGTTGTACTAAAGGAGATGGGAAGGCAGAGAGAGAGAGAGAGAGAGAGAGAGGTTCAGGGTTGCTTATGCGCTACATTAATTAGTATTAGAAATACAAATACAACTACAGCGGAAAAGTGCAGTTCCAAGTAAAAGAAACTATATTACAAGATCTTGCAACTGGTACGAACCTATAAGTTTAAATGGTTGTAAAACAGAAGTTTCCCAACACCAGCTGAGTCAAAAAATGGAAACAGAAAAGACATCGAACAAATACTACAGCATTTATGGTGCAATTCTGAGCACCAACTTACAAATATTAACATAACACTGCATTAAAGAGAACACCTACCTCCACCGGCTAACAATGTAAAGAATGCTCAGCAGTTTTTTCTTTTAACTATCCAACCCCGAATACCACTCTTGACTACGAATGCTGAATAAAGAATCCATCGCCTTCTCAGATCGCACGAAATGCAACCAAAACTGCAGACAAACAATACAGTATAAGTTCCCACATGAAAAAATTGTAAATCATATACTGCTTTTTCCCATTTAAACATCTAATCACAGATCTCATCAAAACAAAACGAATATGTAATAAATTCTATGTACATCCAAGTTTGGAATGGTAGGAGTTAGAACAGAAAAATTAAAGTATAGGATGCATTATACATCTGTTTTCGAACAGAATTATACAATTCATGTACAGGATTCAGATCTTAATCACTGAAACTGTTATAGAAGTATGCATTATCATATAATTAAACTTGAGCATATTCCACCCCCATTGTTGTTGTAAGGTCTTTCAATTAAGCATTCAACCACCTTGATTTTTAAGATAAGATATTCAATTTAACTTTCATCTGGGAACAAAAGAAACATAGCTTGATGCAAAATAGTGGAGTGTGGAGTGCATCAATACACATTTTTATTTTGCCCACATATCAAATATAGACCAGATAAATTGTGATAGAATGAGAGTTTACTTGGATATACAATCAAGATCAAACGTAATCAACATTGGAACCTATCATCCCTATCTTGATTATGTGGGGCTTTGTGGAGTGAGAATAATTCCAAAGCAAAAGGAAGAAAAATGAGAGAGATAAGAGTCCAAGTGCAACAATAACCTCAACCTCCAATATTGTTGATTAAAAATATCAAATCCTACCTATTCCAGAATGTAATTGACAATACTCGGTGCAAAGTCCTAACTTATCCGGTCATTCCCATCATGTATTAAGAAATTAATGAACAATGCTGACAACTGGTGTTCTCACTTTGAACTACATCCTTTATATTAGTAATAAAATTTGTTTCCTACCAAAAAAAGAAAAAGAAAAAAAGACCAGTGCTGACAATTAACCAGGCTGCAACTTAAGAATAATTCTAATGAAATTACTTCGATATTGTATCCAAGTAAATAATAAATATGAATAAGCTATGGTTAAAGTGCAAGCTCACCAATCAAGCATAGTAGGAAAACAATCCAAAACACCACTTGAATGGGTCGACCATATTGCATGTGATACTGAGACCTTTGAAGCTGTCTCTGAATGGATCCATACCAACCATAGAGTTGCTTGTCATAACACTCATCACAACCTTCAAGGCAACTCTTACTTCTTTCATAGCATGCATTAATGCCCTTTCCGGTCACAAGCAGGTTACATTGCATTAGCACAAAATGGAATCAAGAAGCAAAACTCATGACTACATCTAAATTCTATAAAAGCAAATCAAATACTCACTCTAGTCAAATGCTCAGATTTTGGTAATGAGATATCAGCTTCTTGGTGATCTGTAATCTTCAACTTCCTGTAAACATTCTTTGACCACTTCAACTTCGATGCAGACTCCATGGTATTTAGGAACCCCGAAAAACTTGGAATCTTTCGAGGAGTTGGCTCAGGCTGTACATTGGAGGAACTCTGCACAAAAGCATCATCATTGACTGCAATCTTCCAGGCACCAATGTCAGCACTAGCACTTGCCGTCCTCCGATGCCCAGGAACCTTCTCCTCCCTAACCTCCCCCTCCACCAAGTGAGACAAATTCTTCAAATGGTGGGATGCCATTTGTTTATCAGTCTCATGTTGGTTCAATGTTTGTCGGTCCTTAACATGAACTTTTAGAAATGTTTTGCCCCCAGAAGTAGATGGTCCTGAAATAAACAATGCAAGCTCATTGCTTTCTCCCTCATCCAACCACACCCATGGAAGAGGTGGCTTGCCTGTTGAAACAGCAGACTCGTGTAAAGAATTTTGCACTTTTGAAATCTGGCTCTTCATTACTATAATGAATTCTTGATGCCTGTCTTTTGCATCATCCGTTGCACTATCAGTGTAACTGGACCTAACTGCTCGTTCAAATTCCTCCAACTGCATTGACACCAAATTCAATAAACTCAAAATTGATTACACCAATATGGGAACATCCCAATAATCATCTCTCAACACTCATTGCACTAGTTTGAAAGAATATCCTCAATCCCCAACTCTTTCCGAAACCCCAATACAATTCCAATGCATGTAATCTAATACAAAGATATGGGGAGGAGGGGGTATGAATGACCTGCCATTTGCAAGTGCCAAGGGCAGTATATAGGTCCCTGCCGAGTTCTTCGGAATTCCAAGTACCGGAAGAGTCCTTGGTTGCGTGAATCCATGTTCTATAAGTCGATTCCATCCTTCACAATACAATGAACATTAATTGCGAGTGTATGTGAAAGGAAATTATACACATTCAAAGGTCTCTCTGTATATTAAGATACAGAACCAATAAATAAAATCCTAGAAATAATAAGGAATAAAATCGAAATTGGTACCTGTCGGCAGATTCCTGAACTTCTTCCGCTGCAGAGAAGAAAGGATCTTTCTCCCACCGATCGAAATGCGACGTCATAGCTCCCCAATATCACAGCCCCTTTGTGCAAAAACGTTAACAATTGGGAGCGAATACAAAAATAGATAAGATTGTTCAGCCAAAAACCCAAAAATCCCTAGCTACAAAACATACGAATCTGGCATTTGGATGGATAATCGAATCGTAAAACTGAATAAAATCATACAAAATGTGTAAAATGCGCTCGCCGGAGGGAGAGGGAACATAGATTTATCCGATTTGATCAAATTGGGTAGGTTTTTGGTAATGATATGAGGTGGGTGGCGCTCTCCGGGGACGGAAAAAAAGGAGTATATGAATATCTGAAAGTTTCGACGTCGTTGTCTCTGGCTTAGGTACACGGTCAAAACGTGTGTTGCTTGCTGGAAGGATGACATTAGCAATTTAGTATAAGATGCTAATATTTTATTTATTTATTTTCTTCATTTCTCTTGATCAGTAACATATATATTTCCCCTTTTTTTACCATTGATGTTGTTAATGCTATTTTTTAAATCATTTTAAAGAAATTAAATGAGTTAAAAAATTTATTTATACTCCGTTTGATATGATGAAAAGTTAGAAGGATAAATAAAATATCAAATTTGGTAAGGAAAGAAAATAAAAATGATGAAAAAGTTGATGGATTAACTTTACTTTTAACTCATCAAAATTAATCCCTCCAAAATCTGAAAGAAAATTGATGAAAAATTAATTATTTGTATTAAAATGTATATTATTTGTCTATATATTATGTATATATTAATTTTATATAAAAATACTATGGTAAAATATATATATATATATATATATTAAAAAATAAATAATTAAAAAATAAATTCGCCTTAACTAGGAGTAAAAATTTTTGATTCAACACGATGACACGACTCGAACTCAACACGAATTTTATGACACAAATTTGATTATAACTAGACACGAACTTGAAAATGACCCGACACGTGAACAAAAAATATAAAAAAATTCATAATTTTATAACTCAACACGAATTTGATATGATATGACATGACTTGATTATCACTCTTAATATTAGACAAAAAAAATTTTAAAAAAAAATTGTCATATTTATTTTTCATCCATCCAACCAAACACAAAATGAATAAAAGTGTATCATTTCTACTTTTCATCCTTTCTACTAAACGGAGCATTAAAGTACAAACAAAAAGATAGCGAAACTTAACAAATACGTAAGTCTATTCATTTAAAGGAAAATATTATTTGTATTTAATTTATTAATCTTATATATTGATTTAATATATTATAATCATTGCATTGTAACAAGTCTCAATTCTCCTTGTCAAGACAATGATTCATTAGTTCACGAAATGTAGATCAATTAAGGTCATTAGGACATAAAAATTTAATTTTATTTTTTGATATAATAATATGTTAAGTAATAAAATCTTTCGTTTTCGTACGAAGAAAAAATAGAAAGATGGAAGAATAAAAAATTAAAATATGAAAAGTTGAAAATGATGAAAAGTTAAAGGTATAGATAAAATATGATATTTGATAATGAAGAAAAATAAAAAAGATAGAAAAGTGGATAGATGAGTTTTTCATATAACTCATCAAAATTAATTCTTCTAAAATTAGAAGAAAAATAGATAAAAAATTAATTATTTATATTGAAATGTATCTTATTTGTCTATATATATATATTAAAAACAATGATAAAATATGTTGTTAAAAAAATTAAAAGTAAACAATTTTAAAAAATATATATATTATTTTTCATCTTACCAAACATAAAAAAAAATTAATTATTTTATTTTCCATTCATCCAACTAAATATAAAAGAATAAAAATATATCATTTAAAAATATATCTCTCAAACTTTCTATCCATCTTACTTTCAATCATTCTTACCGACACCGAATATAACTATAACTATCAGGGTAATCCAATAGTCAAGGTTGTCGTATTATAAATAAGACATCTTAAAATTGATACTTTTCGCATCGCAATGCCTAGCCACCTTTATTCACTAAGGTCATGTCTTTAAATTAGTTTAAATCTGTGCACATTATAACAAAAATAAAAAGGAGAATTATATCTAGATGTCATGAGATTTATCACTAAATCACTCAGATCTCTTAACATTTAAAATATTACACACAAATCCTCTAAAGTTTGTACGCATGTAACACTTACATTCCTGCTATAAATATATCCGTTAATAAATTACATTTAAACATCTCTGAAGTTTGTAAATATATAATATTTAAATTCCTTAAGTTTAAATTTTATTATATTTAGACAAAAAATACTCAAATCATATTTAGAATATCAAATATTTTAAATTTGATATCAAAAATTCATGTCATATTGTATTATTTATTGAAATAAAAATAAAAATAAAAATTTATTTTTTTCTTAAAAAATCGTAAATAGTATATAATTATACTATCTATTGGAATAAAACAAAAAAATTAAATAAGGGGTTTAAGTCATTCATAATATAAAATAAATTTTACATCCAAAATTCATATTCTATTATGTCATTTATTGAAATAAATCAAAAATAAAAATCTAATTTTTTAAAAAAAAATCATAGTTAGTATATAATTATATTATCTATTAGAATAAAACTAAAAAATTAATCTAAAAGTCAAACTGTAATGGACACCATATCTTTTAGCTTTAATTGAAATAGTTTAGTATTTTAATTTGATCGTTTAACTACCAAATTAAATTTCAATATACAATATAATTGTATACTAATTAGGATTTTTTAAGAAAAAATTGAATTTTTATTTTTTATTTTATTTCAATAAATGATACAATAGAACATGAATTTTAATTATAAAATTTAAAATATTTGATATTTTATTTTTGATTGAAGTATTTTTGGTCTCAATATAATATTTTAAATTTAAAGGGTTTAAGTAATATATATTTACAAATTTTAAGGGGTTTGTATATAATTTATTAATGAATATATTTATAACAGGGGCTAGGAGTTATATACGTACAAACTTTAAGAGGTTTGTGTATAATATTTTAAATATTAAGAGATTTAAGTGATTAGATGACAAACTTCAAAGAGTCTATGTGTAATTCTCTAAAAATAAAATAAAATAAAATCCAATAAAAAAAATAAAAATTATCGCCATAACAATACTACTGATCATGTTAGTGTCATATCTTTACTTTTGATCAAATGTTAGTGTCATATCATTATATTAAATTATAGGTTAATTTTCCAGTTGCCAATAAGATTATTCACTAAATTAGGTCATAGGGAAGCTCTAATTTACTGTATCTTAAATTAACTGAGGTATAGGTTTTGTTACTGTATCATCTTCCCAGTAGTGACCGCAGACATAGAGAACGAGAATCTGCTGTGCGACGCAGAGTTGAAATGGCGACGCCGACGAGGTTTGAGCTCTGAGATTTTGGAGCAGACATATTCCACTTTGCGCAGGTGGTCAATATTCTGCNTAACTGAGGTATAGGTTTTGTTACTGTATCATCTTCCCAGTAGTGACCGCAGACATGGAGAACGAGAATCTGCTGTGCGACGCAGAGTTGAAATGGCGACGCCGACGAGGTTTGAGCTCTGAGATTTCGGAGCAGACATATTCTACTTTGCGCAGGTGGTCAATATTCTCCTCGAAGCCGGCGCAACCTGAAACACCCTCCTCTCCTTCCATCATCTTTTCCGGCGGCTTCTCCATGGGACTCCGGCCACCAAAGCGCCTTCGACGTCTCCTCAACACTTGTGTAATTCCCCTCTCATCATCGCTTCTCTCTGCAATTCATATTCTTAATGCATGACATTATGACTTGTTCTTGCTGAATTTCTCTCCCAAATCCATGTTATGTATAATTTCTCATGTATGAATGGAATAGGTTTTGCCTATTTTTGCCAATGGATTTGTTCATCCATGCTAATATGCTATGAATAATCCATCTTCTTTTGAACGGAAGTTGATGGGGTTTAGTGCAATATTTTAAAGTTTAAGGAGGTTGTTTGCAAGCGCCCCAAATTACAGGGGTTTTTGTTGTAATTAACCCTAACAATTGCAAGGAGAGAAAATGCAAATGATGATTCTGAGGGGGACTATTTACAAGATAGGATTACTTGTAGCAAGAATAACCTGATAGACTCATCCAAAAGTTGTGTGATCAGGGATGACCACTTTGGTGTTATTGTAAGCATCTATGTGAAATGGTCAAGGACTTAACGCCACTTGAATGCCTTAAAATCAACTACTATAGGTTCTCCTTTGTAGTTTGAAATATAAGCGTACGACAAAAATTGCTTTCAATGATGCAGAGGTTAGTAGTTATTTGCAAACAAATGATAATTAAGTGCTGAACTACTAGCAATAAGAAGTTAAAGTTGATACTAAATTAAGGGTGGACTTACAAGTTGAAATCCTATGCACCAAACATTTTTCACTAAAATCGTTAAATGGTGTTAAGTTGCAAAGCAACCCCTCAGTGATCAGGATTTAGAGTTTTAATACAAAGGTGTTAGTTCATTGAGCCTTCATCCTAATGTATGTTACACCTATTTATCATCTTCAAAAATATTAAGGTTCAGTTCAGTGCCAATCTAGTTTGATTAATTCTGGAAAGATTACCCCTTAAAATAATATGTGAAGAATTATTGCTTAATAACGAAAGCCCACAAACCCCTTATCTCTATCTTTTGCTGTTTATCTAGTTCTGTTGTTATTTGATCTAGTGTAAGCTATTTTTGGAACGTTCGCTTTGTTGCCAACCCTATTTTGACTGGTACTTTTGCTCAAACCCAGTTTTCAACCCACGTCTTTGTGAAATACCATACTTGCTGGTTCATAGCATGTAATAGGCAGCCCTCTGTCATGCAATTGAAGTTGCTTGTTTACTGTATAAAATTGGCAGCCCAGTTGTCTTTCATTTGAAGTTACTTGTTAATATCAGTTGAACTCTCTGATACAATAACTCACAGTGGTACTTCATTTAGAAATGAGAAATGGATAGAGCCGGAGTATATAATCTTAGAACCCTGAAAAAACATTAGATGCAGTTTATTCAATGCTTATTGCTTCTGTATGTCACCATACAATCGTTTTCCTTCTTTTTCCCCTACTTTTGACACAACAATTCAATGTGCTTGCATAGTTGCCAAAATATGTAGTACCCAAAATAACCATTTGAAGCATGAGAATAATTATGTAAAGAAGACAAACATGCATTTTACAGGCAATTTACAATGCGTGATCAAGAACCATGCGACTCCAACATTATATTAATCAGGTCCAGCTGAAAGCAATTGGACTACTGACGATGTGTTTTCCATCTGACCATTCCAGATGAGCAAAGCTGGTTGTGCCTGATGGCATTGAGCTAGCAGTGAATGTCACGGTATAACTCTTCTTCTCATTTAGATTACTGAAAGTCAGTGATTGTGGCTCAACCAATGTCCGCACTGCCTTTGTTTCTGAAGACACTGAAACCTTGTACACTGCTGGGTTGCCCACATTAGTCAAAGTCCTTGTGAACTTGACTATGGTTGGTGCTCTGCTGCCACCGTTTCTGCCGGAGGCTGTCTGCAGGGCTACAGCAATACTTGGATAAGGAAGATCTCCCGGGTTCTGAACATTATCAAATCCCATCTTACAGTTGATATCACGTTTTGAGAGAAGCTTGATCTGAATTGAAGTATAGTTTAAGGAGCAAAGGAAGCCCAAGTAATCATCAACTGTGGCATCATAGACAAGGCCTGGATCAAGAGCTGATACTGGGTTCACGTGCCCAGCCCCATAATCAAATGGTGTTGTCGACATTCCAGTTGCAGCGTCTTGAAGGGTTTTGCCATTTTTGTATGTGCTGTAAGCTGTGGTCATGAGTGCTGACCGGATGGCGGCAGGGCTCCATTCTGGGTGGGCTGCCTTCAGTAGTGCTGCTAATCCGCTTACATGTGGGCATGACATTGACGTTCCGGAGATTATATTGAAGCTCACATGCCGAGTGTCTTCCTCTAACCCAGTAGGCCCAACCTTACCGGTCCAACCGGCCAGGATATTAACTCCTGGCGCTATTAAATCGGGCTTGAGTATCTCTGGCGTGACTGGGTTTGGACCTCTGGAACTGAACGCTGCAATGACCGGCGATGGTTCGATACCCAAGTGGGTGCTCCCACCTGCAATTGTGGCCATTGGATTCAATTCCGAAGATATGTACTTCTTTATTGCATCACCAGTTGTTAGGCCCACAGCTGCTGTAGGTATGAGATGCGCATCGGCAACCAGCTCTTCTCCATAGTACTCGGTATTTGCTAGGATCATCCCTACTGCACCAGCATCTTTTACAACCAAACCCTTTTCAACCCTGGAAGTCAGACCTCGATCACAGACCACAATTTTACCAGCAACTTTCCCCGGAATCAAACTACCTGGTACGCACAGATCGCCGGTTGATGCGTTACTGACATTAGCAGCGTATACCAGTGGCACTAAGGAGTCAGATAACGGTTTTCCACTGTAGAGTGATACACCAGGGAAATTTTTTTCATTTCCAAGTCTAACATTTGCCGGAAAATCCCGGTCCAAAGTTCCAGCACCCACCGTAGTTATCCATGGAGCCACATTAGACAAGCTTCCAGAACTAGGCCCGCCGTTCCCAGCTGAGCATGACACAAAGATTCCGTGTGACATTGCCGCGAATGCTCCAATGGCGACTGTGTCTCTGAAGTATTCGCTTATTGAACCGCCTAGCGACAGTGAGAGTATATTTACACCATCTGCAACTGCCATATCCATTGCAGCAAGTATGTCACTGCTAAAACATCCACCAAGCCAACATGCTTTGTACACAGCCACTCTGGCATGTGTAGCCATCCCTCTGGCTATTCCCCCAGCATAACCAAAGAGACTTGCTCCAGCTACAGCTACCCCGGCTGCCGTAGTTGCAGTGTGTGTCCCATGGCCATCATCATCCCTCGGTGACTTTGATTCTACTGTCTCATCAATTGGTCCCGAAGTTGCTTCATACCCTTTGGAAAAAAACCTGGCCCCGATTAGTTTTCTGTTACAACTAGACGAGTTGAAATTCTTACCTGTCTCACAAACACCCTTCCAGCTCCTGGGAACTGGGCCAAGACCGGTGTCATGAAAACTTTGTATCTCCGGCCACGCACCGGTGTCCAACACGCCAATAATGACGTCGCTTACCAAGTTTGAATCAGGAAAGAGTGCTTCTGTCTCATCGAGTCCAAGAAACTTAGGTGACCTGGTCGTGTGAAGCTCGTATATCACTTCTTCTTGGACTGAAAGAGTCCCTGGCTGCTGTTCAAGTGACTTGGCTTCTATAGCCGTCAACCTTGTGGAGTAGCCATGAACAACGCTGTATGTGTAAAGCATGTCAGCAGAGTCTGATACCGACCTTAAAGACGAGGCATACCACTGCAAGTGATCATCAAAGCTCTCTGGCATGATGGATTTGTCCATATGAACAATATAAGTCTTCTGCAGCTGGTGGTTCTCTTCTGCAACCACGCTCGCACCATAGAAGGTCAGCAGTGTCACCATTGAAATGAGCCTGAGCTTACATATCTTCATCTTTCTGCTAGCCCCAAATCTGAGAAACAGAGCAAGTAAGTGAATTCTGTTTTTCTGTCTATGTTCTTGTTTGAAGAGAAGAGTGGGAGAGATGCTAATTTACATACAACCCCAAAGTGGTGGGGCTTGAGCTGAGGAAGATGTTATTGTCTCTCAGCTAATTAGGTTTCATTTGATAGCTGATAATGGGTCTAACGAGAACACTCATCTCGGCTAATATATAATATTCTAGTCTCCCTACGCAAAAATCTTCCAAATTAAGAATTTAACAACCATAGATGTTTATTCAAACTCGTCGAATTGATTCATTATCTTTTTCGTTGATGTGACTACAGACGTATGTGTGATACGTAACATGTCATGTGTATTGTTGATTGATTTTGAAAGACATGTCAAATTGCAATAACTATATCACAAGATCGAAGACTTACTAACAGCTTTTTTAAGTCCCAAGCTGAGGAGAGGAGGTAAGCAAATTGATTTTGGTTGGCAAGCGATACACGAGACCTTCATCCAACGACAAGGTGGTATTATTTTTGGGTTTTGACCACCAACGATGATTGAATTATCGTCCGGCATTTAATGTTAGTATGAGATTTGACCATTAACTGTTTTTTTTTTTTATTTTATTAATTTTTTTTAAAATAAATTTTGATTTTGTTTAAGCTTACAGCGTCATCGNTTGAATTATCGTCCGGCATTTAATGTTAGTATGAGATTTGACCATTAACTGTTTTTGTTTTTTTATTTTATTAATTTTTTTTAAAATAAATTTTGATTTTGTTTAAGCTTACAGCGTCATTGTTTTTTTTTAAATTATTTTGATTTTTTTTCTTATATTATGTTTAAGTATACGGTGTTACTGGTTTTTTTTTTAAAAAAATTATTTTGAATCTTTTTCTTGTATTATGTTTAAGCTTATAGTGTCATTGGTTTTTTTTTGAAAATACATCTAGAGCATCCATATATATCTCTTAATTTTCTTGTATGGTGTCACCAATTTATTGCATCAGATTCTTTATTTTNCTGGTTTTTTTTTTAAAAAAATTATTTTGAATCTTTTTCTTGTATTATGTTTAAGCGTATAGTGTCATTGGTTTTTTTTTGAAAATACATCTAGAGCATCCATATATATCTCTTACTTTTTTTGTATGGTGTCACCAATTTATTGCATCAGATTCTTTATTTTTTATTTATGTGGATTTTTTACATTATCTAGAATATTTTGGGTATGGATTGTCATACCATGTATTAGACCAAATATTATGCAAAAGTGTTACACATATAGAGTAATGGAATGAATGTTGTTAAGGGAAAAAATATATATTTGTCATATAAGATGTGATAGAATAAATAGTTGTTTGTGGGATCCAGTACAGTAGCTATTGAACTANGTATGGATTGTCATACCATGTATTAGACCAAATATTATGCAAAAGTGTTACACATACAGAGTAATGGAATGAATGTTGTTAAGGGAAAAAATATATATTTGTCATACAAGATGTGATAGAATAAATAGTTGTTTGTTTGTGGGATCCAGTATAGTAGCTATTGAACTAACAAACATGGGAGAGAATTAGAATACTTCCTATTACCTATACTAATTTTCATTGGTATTGAGAATATAATTAATACATTTCTCAACACCATATGTAGCAATCATCAAAACAAACATGCTCCTGGGTTATAACTGCGAGCATCTGATATTCCTTGTACCTAGAATGATGAGAACAGCAGACTATGTTCTTGAAAAAGAAAAATAATTGACAGGTATATGCACCATTTAAGAAGATTAGGATGCTAATGGCTGATGATATATGTTCAGTTAGTGAATTATATTTTGGAAAATATTACCCAATACAAATAAAATCTAAAAGGCGTAATCTAAATGTATATTATCTATTAAATGAGTGTTGGATGAGTGGAATTTACTAAAAATGTTTAAAAACATTGATGACACTCACTTATCGAAGTGATGATATACATTTAAGTTGTAATTTTTTAAATGTNTGAGAACAGCAGACTATGTTCTTGAAAAAGAAAAATAATTGACAGGTATATGCACCGTTTAAGAAGATTAGGATGCTAATGGCTGATGATATATGTTAAGTTAGTGAATTATATTTCGGAAAATATTACCCAATACAAATAAAATCTAAAAGGCGTAATCCAAATGTATATTATCTATTAAATGAGTGGAATTTACTAAAAATGTTAAAAAAAATTGATGACACTCACTTATCGAAGTGATGATATACATTTAAGTTGTAATTTTTTAAATGTTATTTAGGTATTGTTCGTTTCGGTGTGTGATATAATGTCATAAGTTAGGTTCTCCTCACAGCATCGGATGCGTATACCAGATTTTTTTCATTGGGCAAACGCAAAATTTTTAATCGGATAAATAAATTATAAAATTACAAAAGTGTTAAAGAAAGATAATCTGTACGTTTCTTCTTTTCGANAAGTTAGGTTCTCCTCACAGCATCGGATGCGTATACCAGATTTTTTTCATTGGGCAAACGCAAAATTTTTAATCGGATGAATAAATTATAAAATTACAATAAAGTGTTAAAGAAAGATAATCTGTACGTTTCTTCTTTTCCACTTCTGCTTTTTAGGTAAACACCCTTTATAGTGGATAACTGAAGATCAGGCCTGCACAATGGACTGCAGATACCTGCCCAATTTCCATTCCACTATGCAAAAGTTGTAATAAAAAAAAAAGGAGATAAATTGGTACTTTGTTTTCAGACAGTTAGAGCAATGACAATTGTTTATCCATTTAAACGATCTTTTCTAAGTCTCGATATAGTCACAACTTTTGCGTAGTTAGCATTGCTGTGCGACTACGCTTCCTGATCTTCCGGTTTCATAAGATGAAAGTTTTTAAAAGAGTTGGTCTATTTTNAGGCCTGCACAATGGACTGCAGATACCTGCCCAATTTCCATTCCACTATGCAAAAGGTGAAATAAAAAAATAAAAAAAAAGGAGATAAATTGGTACTTTGTTTTCAGACAGTTAGAGCAATGACAATTGTTTATCCATTTAAACGATCTTTTCTAGGTCTCGATATAGTCACGATTTTTGCGTAGTTAGCATTGCTGTGCGACTATGCTTCCTGATCTTCCGGTTTCATAAGATGAAAGTTTTTAAAAGAGTTGGTCTATTTTTTTTTATTTTACATTAGGATAAGCTAAAAAGAAGGGGAAAGAATATTAGATANTATAAAGACTGATGATACTAAAAGAAAACGTAAGTTCGGATGATAAACAAGTCAAGTCAACAGTTTAAATAGTGGATACGTCAAACGGATCATCATGTATCAGACCGACTTAGAATGAGTTTAAACTAGCAATGAGGTTATAAAAGTCAACTATTAACGAGGAAACTAACAGAAAGATGACTTTCACCCGCAAATCCTACCTTAGGCAAATGGTCGATCACTTCCAAAAAGTCACTGCATATACTTTGAAGAAAAAGTCTTTGATGGCCAAAATATTCCCTAAATGTTCTCTAACATTTATGTTATAAAAGCAATGATTACCCATGCATGAAAGGTAAACATATACACTGCCCTAGGTAGTAGAACCAATTGTATTCATCTCCTACCTCAAGCAATGCACAACCTTGCTCTATTACATTGAGCTAACATTGCTCTTCAGCAAAACAAACCACTTAAACTTAGACATTTTTATCGTTTTATTCTCTCATTTACCACTCACTTAGCACTCCGTTCACCTCAAACTTCCCTGTCAATAACACCATCAAAGTCGAGTTTGGAACTTTATTAGGCTATGCAGTCTTTCCATCTGATGATAGGTTTTGTATATAATTTGAAAGTTGGGGCCACTTAATGTACAAATAATTATAGTTGAGAATACAATATATAATTTTGCTGGGGAAGTGACCCTTAAGCTAAATATTTATCTCATGCAATTATCATCACCACTGAAAAAAAGGAGAACAATGTTGATACATGAAAAAGACTCCTTGATTAAACAAAAAGATCAATTGATATGTCTAAGTAAAGGGACTACTGATTTTGAGTTTCTCCCACTTTCTCNAAGACTCCTTGATTAAACAAAAAGATCAATTGATATGTCTAAGTAAAGGGACTACAGATTATGAGTTTCTCCCACTTTCTCATCCCCACCCCCTAATAATTGCTAATAAGCAGAGTTGCTTTATTTTCTCCAATGTGATTTAAGTGCAGTATTTGTGGATTTGTATGATTAAAGAGTGAGATTCTCTTCGATACATTTTTTTTTTTATTTTTTCTTGTCAAATATCTATCATGTGTTTAAGTAGGACCTATTGTTTGTATATAAAGTGAGTTTGTCGCTCATTAATAATAGATGATACGTCAAGAAAAACATTAAAGAAAAAGTATATTCGAAGGGATCTAAATTCGATAACTAATTAAAATTCACTTATTACTTACCATAAGCTTAATTTTATTTTTTTTTGGTTCAACGATCGGGGGTGTTTATTTCAGTTTACGCGCACCTCGACTAATTCACTCTCTAATCTGCCAACAAAAAAAAAATCTCCTCTCCAATCCAATCAAAGACAATTCACGCTGAAATTAGAAAATTCATGAAACCCAAGAGATTGGTCAATTATTAGTTAGAGGTTGAGTGATCAACCGACGGATCCTATGTGAAAACAACGGGAAAAAAGGTAATACAAAACACTCCAACTGGCTCATGTTTCCGCCACTTGGAGTGACTCCCTTTTGCATCATGGTTTAGTGCAATTGCTTTTCAAACTTTCCCGATGCTTTTCAAGAAGAAATGGTTGTAGGGTATTCTTTAAAGCGGTATCCAAACACAATTCTCGTTTGTTTATTGTGAAGTTTGATATAAATAAATAATAAACAATTTTAGACACTCACGACATGTAACGTAGACATGTAAGCAATCATTATGGCTCTTGGTGTACCCTCTTTGATCGTGGTGTACAACATGCACGTGCGCATCTTCTTTTCACCTCT